AAGTTGAGTCCCACGGCTCGAGTTTCGATCTCAACTTCCATTGGTAACAATGTTTCAGGGGTAGTCTGCGGGCGGAAGTAAAAACTGTCCAGTACTCCAATATCTTGCATTGCGAGACTCGTTGAACCTGTATCAGAGTATTGCATTTTCTTTATCATCGCCTTAGCAGACCGAGAGCGGGTAGGTTGAGAAAATTCATCGGCTGGAATGATTCTCCCAATTTGCAGTTGACCATTCGACTCAATGAAAGTGTTTTCGCCGTCCTCAGAGACGGTCCCATAGAGCACCTTCTCCAGTACAGCGCCGAGCTTCTCTATTTGAGTTTTCGTAAGGTGTATTGCTATTTCGAAAGCCAAAACAACAAAAGATAGTTGGCTGTTTTCATTTCTGAGAACCCTGCTCAGCCCATCAATCATAGCGTAGTCTGGATGCGCGTTCGGTCCACCGCCTCTAGTAACCCATACCACGGTTTTGGCAGCTTGGAGTAATCTTTGAAGGGACGCGAATTTGTCGGCTGTCATGTTCCTCAGGTATGGTTGAAAAAGTTCTATCATACAGAGGTACGCCGCATCCGGGTTACTAGAGGCTAATGCTTGCTTCAGGGATGTCGTTCGAATGACTTTATATCCCTTGACTTCCAGATGAGCGTTCGTTTGGCTGATGTCGAGTTGTGAGGTTTCTAATTCTGGCGCTATCATTACTATTTCTTGTTTCACCGTATGGCCCTCCGGTTTTGAGACTTCTGTGGCAGTTGTGAGTATTAGGGACATCTGGCTACAATTGTTGCTCTCGAAATCCTTGAGCTCAATGTCATTTCCAGAGAACCCTGCTTCGAGGAGCACGTCACTCCATGTTGAGCTGTCTATAAGAGGCCCGGACACTCGGAATTCCTCTGAACCTATGGTAGATCTGTAAGTCTTTAGTCACTAGGCAGAGCAGACTGAACATACTAAGCCACCATCCAGGTAGAAGTCCCATAGAGAATGCGAATCTTGACAGTTCGGGTCTTACGAATTCCAATAGAAGAAGTTTCCCGCCACTGTCCGGCACATATATTAGTAAAATAGTTGTGTACAAGTATTACGAGAGTCACTTACGGGCGAAGCAGAGACCGAACATGCTTTAAAGTGACACCAAGGTCTCTTGTTGCATGTAGAACCTATTACTAAGAGTAAACATATTACATATCAAGCACGATTTGGAGACGACTTACAAGCGATGCGACAATCAAGTCATAAGAGCCCAATGCGAACCCCTGACTGCCCGGATCCTTTTCAATGTCGAGCGTAAGAAATTGGAGCCGCTTAAACTTCTGAAATTCCCTCTTCGCTTGCTCAAAAAAACTAGAAGAAATATCGGTAAAATCGTACTGTGAATACTGAACATCTCGTAGACCTGATTGGGCTTGCGAAGACAAGGCTTCGAGAAGTAAACGTGCTGTGGCCCCCGTACCGGCTCCAACCTCGAGAACCTTCATGCCGCTTTCCAGGTGTGCGAGATGAGTAGCAATATCCCCCAAGCTGGAAAGCCAGTTACTCGTCTCGTGGAGTTCTTGGTATGTATCAGAGAGCAGTTCGTCTTGGAAAAGCAAACTGAGAGGATCAACTTCGCCTCGCAGTAATTGGGGCATGCTTTGCCATATGCGTAGACAGAGGTGGCCTAGGTTGCTGGTTTTCTCCATTGTTAAGCAAAGATTGCTAAAGTACTCATCATTTTCACGCAATAGTTTCAATTCTGATCGGAAGTTAGGCATTAAATCTGCTTCGTATAAACGATCCTGCTCGCAAATCCAATTGACATATCTCGAGACAGTTTTGTTTGGGAATGTATTTATGTCCTTTATCAACTTGGTTGTTTTGTGTATAGCGAGGTATAGAAAGCAATCAAGCCGTTCAAACTGTTCGACTGGATCGGGCTTGATAGTTTGCTTTTCTTTGAAGTACTGGAAGAGCTCTTTATTTGAAAGTAAGGTGAAATCGGGCATCCAAGTAATGCGATGGCACATGTTTGTCAGGGGGTCTTTGGGGGAAGTTCCACCCATTGACAACCTTGTGCCTGCAGCCAGTGTGGCTTCGAGGCCTTCCAGCTTTGCAATAACAGAACCTTGCTTAGTGTCAAGGACATAGACATCCCCTTGGCAAGAGGAGACACTTTCCAAAGTCAAATCAGCTGAAGCTCTTAAAATGCTCGTTTCTTGACTGGATGCCGGCACTTTCGAAATCCTATTCGATATCCACAGGCTTCTGATGAAAGTGGGAATCTTCAAACTTGCTACACATAAGTCGTCCCCAATGCAAGATACCAACAATACTTGCATAAAAGCATCAAGTGTAGCTGGATGGATAGTATGCAAGTTGCATGATCTGTCATTTGATATAGTGATCGTAGCCAAGCAGGTACGTGGACCATGAACTATAGTCTCTAGCACTCGAAACTGAGGTCCATAATTGTACCCTGCAGATTTCAGAGAAGCATAGAGAGTTTCTGGGGATATCTGATGACAGGATGCTTTCTCCATAGATGTCTGTGTCCTTTGGTAGTGCATGAAGTCGTCTTGGTCCTTTCTGCCTTTGACTACCCCATTAGCCTTTCTGCTGTATTCGACCCCAACGTTCCCAAAGCAATGTTCGATGGAGTTTGACTTTTGAAATGAGTAAATCCTGAAGTTGAACCAGTTTATTTGATTTTCCCGAGAGTGCTTGCGGTTTTCCGGTCGGAGTGATATTTGTACTTCGACAGATCCTTTAGCGGGGATGATCAAAGGAGTATGAAATGACGCTTCTTTGATCAAGTATCCACTAACATTGTCCACGGAACCTGCAGTTTGCCTGACCGCTTCCAATGCCATTATTAACATTCCGGCAGCAGGGTATAAAAATTGATTCTGGATCTGTGTATGATCAGGAGCTATTGGTCGATGGAGGTGACAAACCATACCTTGTGATCCATTACCCACGGAAATGCAGATATTGATATGAAATTCCGCCATCTCGCATCCAAAGGATTCCAGTCGGAAACGGGCTTCCCCAGGAAAACATTATTAGTATGTGCTGCAAAACGAAAATTCTTACTGAGCCTGCTTTCCAACCAATAGCTCTTAGCATGATCAAAAGGATACTCGGGCAACTCTGTCAAGATTTGAATACCTTCCATTGACTTGTCTGGATTGTTGATGGCAGTGAAGTTGATTGTATACCCAGAACAATGCAGCTGACCTGCAACACTAAGTAACGTTTCTGCAGCAGATACTCCTCGGGTCATTGCACTGAGATAAGTTGTCCGGCCTTGATTTGAACATTCTTCGAGCAGTTCACGCACAGGTCCTCGCAGTGCGGAGTGGGGTCCTACTTCAATCAGGAAATCGACCAACATTGTTCTTCTGTGACTTCGATCGAGGCTGGCTCTAGGTTCATTTCTTGAACCCACGCAAATCGGAGACACGGCGTCGCCAAATCTGACAGCCGACACGAGATTTTGTATCCAATAGTCACTAGACTTGAGCGTTTCTGGTGACACAACTTGTCCCGTCACACTGGAAAGCATTATCGGTGGGCAGGATATTGTTTCTTTAGGCGTGTCAATGTTGGTGATCGATTCTCTATAAAACTCTGTTGCAGGCACCATGTGTGGCGAGTGATAGGCCACGCTTATTTTAAGCCTTTGCTTGGGTTGTCCGATTTCGTCAAGCAAAAGTTCCAGGGCTTCGATTTGATCCCTGTCCCCCGAGATAGTGATATTTGTTTTGCTGTTAACACAAGCTATCCACAAGCCAACTTTTCCAAAGGTTTTGGCTACCTCGTCAATAAGTGCCGCAGCTCGCGGTTCGGATATTGCGACGGCGAGCATAGAGCCTTGGACATGCGACGATTCGGAGAGGAGCTTTGTATAGAGACCACGAAAGTATGCGATTTTCAACGCGGCTTCCCGTGAAACTGAGCCTGCACAGTATCTAAGAATAATCAGCCTTGTTTGTATCTGCCTATGCAAGACCTAGCCACTTACGCAGCTGCAATCTCACCAGAAGAATGGCCAACTACCACAGATGGGAAAATACGGAAGCTTCGCAGGAGGTCAACAATTGCAACTTGGATTGCAGTGCATATTGGTTGGCTGTATTCCGGCAAATGAATATTTGAATAATCTTCTGTTTTGGAAACCTCATCTACTACGTGTTAGATGACCGAGATATAATATACTGGAAGGAAAACAATTACCTTTAATAGACCAACAGCATTGGAGTGACCCGAGGTAGTTTTCGGCATCCTGTAATGACTTTCGAAACACAGGGTATGCCATAAGTTCCAGAGCCATACGGGGCCATTGCGCACCCTGCCCTGTAAAAACAAACCCCAATTTAGGGGATATGGAAGGAGTCAATCGTGGTTTAGACATGATCGTATCTGATAGTTGTAATCTTGAGGTTGGGCTTATAATAGCATAAGACTTCCACAGAAGCATACTCCGTCGGCAAGCTAAAGTGAAAGCCAAGTTACGATAGTAGCTTTGATCCCATGAGCTACGTTGTGCTGTGCACTCGGAGAAAAAGTCCTTATAAAGCTCACCCCAGCGATTGATTCCGTTTTCATCAGCACTTGACCAGACAAGTAGTAGCGGAAAGCTGTCTTGAGCCTTTGCATCCCCATTCTTTTGGCCTTTCGAATTGCCGTTTATCTGATTTGAGCAATGTCTCGTAGTATTGTGACGACCAGTCAGCCCACGAAGGTGCATATAGTGGTAGGCGTCATCGAGTACCACGTGGCAATTAGATCCACCGATTCCAAAAGAGTTGATAGAGGCTCGCCTGAGATCCGACGTAGGCCACAGAGTGGGAATCACAGGAAACTAAAGACATGGTTATCTTTTAATGCCTTCGAAGAAGCTGAGTGTACAAGTTCGCTTTACCTTAATTCGTAAGAACTCTTCATCAATCCTGATATTTGCTTTCTGAAAACCCGAGTTAGGAGGTATTATTCCTCGCTCCAGGACTAAGACTGTTTTAATCAGGCCTGCCAAGCCACTGCATCCTTCAAGGTGTCCAATGCTAGACTTAACGGCACCACTGATAATATAATGAGCTTGAAGAACATATAAAAATGGAACAGAGCAACTGACATATATAAGCTCTCACCTTCACCCCGGCTGCTTTTGAATGAACTACCAATAGCATTGACTTCCACGGCGTCGCCCAATCGCGTCCCTGTGCCATGGGCTTCAACAAACATTGTCCGGCTAAGACTGAGCCCAGCCTTCTCATATGTATGTCGAATGAGCGATTCCTGCGCCTTTCGACTCGGCTGGGCCATTCCATTCGGAGTGTGACCATCTTGGTTACTGCCTGACGATCGAATCACGGCCCTGATGCAGTCGCCATCATTCAAAGCATCGGAGAAGCGTTTCAAAATGAGCACAGCATGACCTTCGCCTCTTGTATACCCATTTGCCCTCTCATCAAAAACAAAAGAGCGACCTTGGGGAGAAAGTACATTGAAACTCGATAGAAGGAGCATCATATCAGGAGAGAAAATCAAATTAGAAGCACCTACTACACTCTTTTAGTCAAGTTAGCAAGATATTAGAATCCTTTTTCACTCATATGAAACTAATAGTCCCTCGGCTTACCATATCAGACTCTTTTCCGAGAAGATGTTGGCATGCAATATCTACCGCTGTCAATGAGCTTGAGCAGGCCGAGTCAAGACTCAGGCTTTGGCCTGTTAAATTGAAGAACCAACTGAGCCTACTAGACAGTACCGACATCAAGCAGCCGGTGGCGCCATACTGAAATGGTTGTTCGGGGTCTTTACAATACATCATTTTGTAATCGTCCGTGAAATTGCCTACGAAGACAGATGTTTTGGAGCCAGAGACTTTCTCTATGGGTAGGCCAGCTGCTGGGAATCAGTGAAGTCTTGATGGAGGCCTGAAAAGTCTCACAGTTTTCGAAAGCACGGTATGTTGTCTCCAAAAGCACGCGCTGCTGCGGATCCATAGTTTCCGCTTCTTCGCGAGAAATGGAGAAGAAAGGCGCGTCAAATGCTGCGATATCATCTTTAATAAAACATGCCTTGCTAGTTGTGAACTCAAAAGTGTATTAGTATAAACATCGCGAAATGTAATTATAAAAGAACTAGTATTCACCTTGTCAAATTGACGACCTCCTGAGAGACGGAATGCATCTGTATGCATCCGTGACTTTGGAGTTTCCGTGCTGGCAGTTCTGCCTTGCATTAACATTTCCCAGAAATACTGGGCCGAGGTTGCTTCTTGTGGAAATTTAAAAGACAAGCCAATAATGGCGATGGCTTCTCGTGTATCTTTATCATCGCCATTCATCGGCCGAAGCGCGGGAAGTTTTTCGGGCATTATAACGGCGTTTACTTGGAAAATAATAACAAGACCGTTGCTGGCTTAATAGAGCCAATAGGGCTAATTGTTCACGCTTGGGTATTCCACTGAATCGAATCATAGGTTGATGTAAGACTAAGACAGGTATGAATGCAGAAAACTCTTATACGGGGTAAAATCCGTAGACCACTTCAAAAATGGACCTCTTAGTTTACATGCTACAGAAGCAAGTAAAGCTTAGATAGAGCTATCTTTCGTATGAATATTAGTGGTACAAGACCGACATGCTTCTGCCTCACAAGAGTCTTAGTTGATAAAGCTTGGAAAATGATGTGGATCTCTACTGAGATCCTTCAGGGGCTTAGAAAAGATCCTGTTGGAAGAAACCTCCGTGATTCTCCAAGGCTGCAGCTTTCTCGTTCATCTTTGCCCTGTTCTGGTAATGTGGTGCGGGTTTTGGCATCGTCTTATCTGCCGCAGCAAGTACCGGTATAAGGCGATTCGTGCTGGGAGGTGTTCTAAATTAAGGTTAAAGTTCTGAAAGGAGGTCTAGTGCCGGTACTAATTCCTACTTTAATCTACTACAGCCTAAGTGCATTACCCCGGTAGTAGCAATTTATACTTTACTTATCTAACATATCATAACGCATACCTATCTAGCTCCGCAGCTCCTTGCATGTTATTAAATTAGAATTTATCCTTATGTTACGCTATCAATGGTGACATATGACCAATGCTTATTAATTGTTATACGGTGAAGCAAATGGGAAGTTTAGCTCCTATCCTAATTAATCTGTACTACAAGTATGGATGCAATGTGACCCTTTGGTTCAGATGCATGCGGCTTCTTATAGGTTAAGTAATATGATCAGCGGCGCATGGTCTCGAGGGGGATCCTGTGCAAGGAAATTGTACGACAACTTGCAAATATCCATAATGATCTTATTCTATGTTGGCAGTGCAGTATGAATGTTGGCACGACTCACCCACTAGCACCTGTAGCACTAGAGCTCGTCCAACTCGGCTGGATCCTATGGTCAAAAAGCATATGTGAATAGTAAATCGATAGGCGGGTGACATAGATAAGGGAAGACTACTCCCGCACTAATAAAATCCATATTCTAGCAGAAGACCGGAAAGTAATTTCACCTATTGACTTTCCACTTCACCAGTCATCAGATCTTCTTGTGTCAACAAAATTAAAACCTAGTTTTGATTATGGCTATTCGTGTCTTATGTCTTCACGGTCATGGCTCTAACAGCAAAGTAAGTCCGCCAATTTCATATTATTCCATTATCTCTCTTCCTATTTTTTGGTACGGTGGTTTCAGTACGTAATTAACTATTGTGTTCTAGGTATTAGAAGCCCAGACCGGTAAGAACGCAAAACGTACGCTGGTGGCCATTTTGATAGCTGACTTCAATTTCCAGCTGCCCTTCGACATGAACTAGATGAAGATTATGAATGGGTTTTTGTCAATGGCACGGTGCCCGTAACAATGGCTCCTGGTACGTCCATTACCAACTAATATCTGATAGCAAAACTCAAGATTGCACAGAACTCAAAGGATTCTACCCGGAATCCGATGATTACTTCGGCTATTTCACCATAGCGGAGCCTAAGAGCCTCGAGAAGGCTATGAACGATCTCGAAGATTTCATTGATCTAGAAGGGCCTTTTGATATCGTCATGGCAGTCTCCATCTCTTCCAGTCTGATTGGAAACTTGCTTCAGAAGCTAGGAACCGATAACCAACCACCTTTCAGAGGTGCCATCTTCTTCGCTGGCATGGCACCCTTGGATTTCGCAACCTGCGCGAAAGGTGACCTGGGTTTCCTCGAGCATGCTGAGGAGCACAAACTCATTTCTATTCCCACGGCGAATATTTGGGGGGTCCACGACGACTATCACATTCATTCTGCTCCTAAGCTTGCTGCCTTCTGTTCTGCTCAGACAAATATTAGCTTGATGCATGAAGCTCGCACGCCTATTCCTGGTTCAGCAGATGAGAAGGATCTCGTTGCCGCTGCACAAGTAATTCGCGTGACGGTCGACAGAGTTACTGCCGTATATTAGGGGCTCTAGGATGTTTTGAGAAACTGGCCCGAGGGAGTTTTGTATTTATCTATGAAATTTTACTTGATACGGGAGTCTAAGACTATATTAGTATAGTGCAGATATTGTTCTTTAGTGATTCTAGTGTATGATTATATAAGTTGACTTTCAGTCATTTTCAGGGAGAATAAAATAAAATGGGCGGATTAGGCCTACATTGCCGTCTTCCATAATAAATACACTAAGACAAGGAGGAAAGGATACTCTGAAGAAAGTTCATCTCCCCAAGGGAATCTTAAGAATACTAAAACCCAGGCCCCAGGCTCTGTGTATCATTTACTAATTGCTATGCAAACTAATTTGCTGCTTCTTCCACATCAAGCCAACAGCCAAAACCTGCACGCCGGCTATAGCAATTATGATCCGATTCTCGAGACGAAAACCTGTTCCAAAAATGCTACGAATTTTCTCCTGTAAATTTGGATTGAATGTATTCAGTAAATCAAAATCTTGAAGCAATGAGGTGATCTGTGATGGTAATAAAGCGGAACCTAACGAAGCGCTTAAATTAGAGTTGAGAACACTCATCGCGATAGCAAGCCCGATAGCTGAGCCTAGCATCCGTGCTTGAACCATAGATGATGTACCGACAGCTGTGCGAACAAAGTGTTAATAGGAAGTCTAGATAGGTACAAAACACGAGACTTTCAGTTGGTCACCACGTACCAAGATCTTTCGATTCAACGCAATGTGGGGTCGCAAGCATTGTCACACTAGCCGTTACCCCGACTCCTAAAGCTATTAATATCTCAAACACATACATACTTGCTAGCATGCCTCCCTTAACTGGTATCATATCGAGCAGCGCGATACCGAGCAGCTGTATTAGAGAGCTACCAAATAAGAGGTAAATAGGCGCAATCTTTGTTGCACCGCCAATAGTGTTTCCGACCAATAATCCAATAGGATTCGCGATAGTATAGGGCAACAGGCGAATACCAGCTTGGAGAGGAGATGAGGAGTCGACGACTTGGTAACGTTGAGGGATCGATATCAATATCGCGCTGTTGGGTATTCCAACAAGAAAAGATACTCTAAGGACGGTCAATATCAGCAAGTTAAAAGTCAAAACAGGAAAGGTCGTACAATAGCATTGCCATCCAAGCTCGATTTTTCACAAACCGCCAGGGGAACATTTCTTCTTGTTCCTTCCCCTGCTTGCTCAGATGTTTTTCCCACAAGGCGAACAATACCCAACTTACAACCGACAGCACAAGCAGAGCGATGACAACGGCTGAGGACCAGGTGAATGACGTGGAGGCTTCAAGCAATGCTGTAACAAGTAAGAATGAAGCACCGAGTAACAGAACTGCTCCTATGACATCGATTTTCTTAAGCAGTCTCCAGATAGTGTCCTTCTGCACAGGACTGGGTGCCGAATTCTTTGGGGTTCCAAATTGTGCTGGCATACAAATAAGTAGCACTACAAATACGATAGCAGCTGCTGGAACACTACTTTAGATTAACATTTGCTTTTTTCTGGTTCCGAGCGACCTTATCACAGACTAAGTCGACGTTGGCCCACACAACGCTTCAGTGTTATTTGAAGAGAACTTACTTCAGTAGGAACAGCCAACGCCAAGAACCTCTTGTCACGATAGCACCCCCCATCAACGGCCCACTGGTCGTCGCCAAAGCAACAATAATAAAACATATACCAGTATAGAGAGGCAATTTCGCTTTTGGGACCATCTCGTAAACAATAGCCATTGTGACGGCAAAGGCACCTGATGCGCCAATACCTTGCAGGACACGGACGACAATTCTAAGCCACTTATTAGAAATTGGCCTTAAACAAGCCAAAGAGAAAACATGGAATGAAACTTACAGCTGTGTCATGGTTTGGGCTGCCCCGCAAGCGCCCGAGAAACCCGCGAAAATGAAGACTGCGGTCATCAAGGAATATTTGCGGCCAAAGATGTCGCTCATCTTGGCCCAGATGACCAAAAAACCTTAGGGAAGAGAGATTTCAGTGCCAAAACCCTCATAGAATAATAGCATATCTTGAGCTACCCATACCTGTGTATGAAATTTGGTAGCCGGAAACGATCCAGCTGGATTTGTCAAAACCGTGGAGATCGCTGGTCATGGCAACTAAAGCGGTGCTCACGATAGAAGCTTCCATATTAACAAGATAAATGATAATCCATAGTCTATGTGTTCACAATAAATTATGAAGTTAGCAAAGTGATCATGCCTCTTGGGTATGGAGACGAACGCTACTGTTGATATGTACAAGCGCCACCCGTGCAAATACGTGAGTTCTTTCTCTTGGCTTTCCTCTTCCACTTTGCTGTTCTCAACATCGGGATCTTTTTCTGTCCTTGACACTGTGCTTGGCTTGACGATCTCCGTGCTGACTTCACTCTTTGTATCCATAGAAGGGGGACTATTGCTACATTGAGCACTGTTACGGAACTTCATGGCTATATTTGGGAAGTATTTCGAATACAACAAGGAGAAGAAGGAATCAGGCGGGAAGGATTAGATCTGAGGCTGGACCCTATGTCTCCAAGGCTCTCACGAGTCCTCGAGAATAAGACAAAAGGTCCAAAACGAATAGTCAAAAATAAGTACCGGGATGCATCGGCATTTCTCAGGATGCCACCGCCTCCTGCAAGCCTCTCGATCAGCCGTTGATCGTGTTATGCCGGCAGTAGGGGCCACAATTACAGATTAGTGATAACAAGGTATCGTGCATTGTACGACATGACATGATGCACCAACAGACCGAAAGAAAGCAAGGGAATTAGGCTGATACCATGTCATCATTCTACAACTGTTATCAAAAGCACACCAATTCCATTAACCTGATAGGCTCTCGCTTTCAACCAGGAAATAAATAGTAAGTCTCTACCCATCCCTCCCTTTCTTTCGGTACCCTGCTTAGCGATGATCTAACTACTCTAATCCCTATTAATTCTACGATCTACAAAATATATAATCGCTTATACTAATAAAATATACAGATAATGAATTCTTTCCCTAGTTTAGAAACTTTGTGCCCGGACACAAGCGATGCGCTGCTAAAGTAACAATTCCTATAAGCTGGATTTAATTACTAGCGGATAAAGCACAGTTACCCCGTTGGGAAAAATACCCTAAACGGCCCGAAGTCAGCCTGCAGCGATACACACAAATTCAAGCCCCCTGGGGCCTCTGTGTCTCAACGCAAGCTTACCAATCGAAGCTGTTTTCAGTATCACACTGACAAATGTTTCTATTTTAAGATTCTAGAAATGTGCCCTATCATTTAAGATACGCTTATCTACTCCGTACATTGCAGCCTACTAGCTTTCTCTCTATGATCTGCTTTTCTTCTCTTGCTGACTTAGTTGATTCTGTCTTAGCAAGTGTTGCTCAACTCCATATTTTTCTGATTTCCGTCTCGGCCAATCCTCCGCGAGCGTGAAGTACGAGCGATCGAGCCAAGTATACCATCATGTATACATCTTCGCAAAATGCTGTCCTCGCTGTCTGTATCGTCTTCAGCATACTATCAACATTTTCTGTTGCCCTGCGTTTGATTTCAAGGCGAATCAAGAACGCTCCGATTAAAGCTGATGATTGGTTTATACTTATTGCGCTGGTGAGATGCTGCATTTTACTTTAGTGGTTGCAAAGGCTGATGATGGATTGGTGGTAGATTTCGGCTTTGGCAAATAATATCATGGTCGCATGGAGTGCTGGGACTTATGCTCTGGGTGTGCCGATTCCTACGATGAGTGTTGAAACTTGGGTAGTTTATGGCAAGGTATGCTATCGATCCGCGGAAAAGCTGCAACGAGATTGTCTAATGATATCTATCCTATTAGATTCTCTTCATCCAGCCGATTATTCTGATGTTCGATCTTGCGGTTATCAAAATCTCCGTTCTCTTCTTCTATAAGCGAATTTTTACCACGAAGAGGTTCTTTCTTATATCTAATATTTTAATTGCGGTCGTAAGCGCATGGGGCGTCGGATCCCTCTTGGTAGGTTACCTTCCTAAACGATACCTTTTCAAATCAAGTGGAAGAGCTTTTCGCGTAAGGTTTACACAGCGGGTAAATAAGTCTGACGGTATCTTCTAGGCCCAAGTCTTTGAGCAATGGCCGGTCTCCGACAATTGGACATCGAGTGAAACAGGCGGCAAAAATTTCATTCTAAACTACGCCAACTTCAACATAGCTTATTCATGCCTTGATCTCGTCTTGGATGTCATTGTGTTATCTTTACCTTTGTTTATGATAAGAAATTTGCAACTTACTACGCGTAAGAAAGTGGCATTGTCATCCATTTTCCTCTTGGGTGCACTGTAAGTCGTCCCTCTCGGTTGTGACAGTGTTTGGTCAGTTGATTTGCCTTAGATCAGTTATTGCTGAAGGTGTTCGAATCTGGATTTTATGGCTTATTCTATATGGTCCCAATGTTGCTGTTATTCTTGATGGTTGTAAGTTTCCCCAAATCTCGGTTCATTCTCTCGGACCATCCCCAGTCTTCTGATTCTTCGTCTTAAAAACCTTTCAACACAATGCTAATGAAAGTTGTTTGACTCTTAAGCTCTTGCTACCAAATTCGTTATCTGGGGTACAATCGAAGTCTGCGTCTCGATAATCGCGGCGTCACTGCCTATGCTTGGCCCGATCTTCTTTGACCGCCGCGGTCCCGAGAGCATCGTCCGCAGCGTACGCTCTATTCTTTCTCTACATAGTACTGGTAGAGGAAACTCCTCAAGCGGTGAACGTCAAAAGGGCTCACTATCGTCCACACGTGTTGAGGAAGTTGGTGGGCAGTGGCATGAGCTGGATAACCGCAGTCAAACTACTGTGTCCAAGAATGGTGCTATTCGGGATCAAAGAGATACAATTAATACCCCGGAAGCTTTTCAGACCACCGCGCGAAACGAGGTGTAAAAATCTGGGTCAAATTGATCTCAGGGGGTGGGCGTATCGCAGGTAGCTAAAGTGGCATAGCCCCTGAGAAGAGCCCTGTAATCGAGTTAACACCCACGTTCCAAATTAATATTGAATCAGAATTCTCCAGCGTAGAACTGACAGGTGACCGAGTAAAACAAAGATATGGTGTTCTTTTTTACGTGCGGAAATATGTGAATTAGAAGATTCAGTAACTTGTATTTCTCAAAGCGCCAGTTTCCACCGGGTAAAAGGTAGGCATCCAGGTGCTTGATTAACCCAGACTCGAATCTCTCGAGCCGCTGAAGAATACAAGAGATACCATGCGTATGAATGAATACTGGTAGTAGGGCTTCGCAAATGTGACAGCGTGACAGTGTCGCACAAATAGATCGGTCATATATTATTGGCAGAGAGTACATCTGAATGCTGCAATGGTCACTTTAGCCGGATGCCTCTCCTCTACATGTAACAATTCATGCATGAAAGATGGAAAGCTAACGCCTGTAACTGACCATATAAGGAAGGAGGTCAGAGGCGTGTGATAGGTCACGCGTGGTTATCGTAAAGGTACCTTACGGAGTACGAAGGCCTGCGTAACACTGACTACCATGTCTTGGTAGACTTGTCTTGGTAGACATGTCTTGGTAGTACATACCAACGGGCGACACGACATGCCCGTGCCCTGGTGCAGAAAGCCGATGCGGGGACGGGAAACACGGCTGTGGCGGGGAGTGTGGGTGCAAATTGATTACGGGGGTAGGGTACTAGTGCGATTTACTAGATTTCACAGTAATTAGTACTAGTCCAATTCAAGCCAAGCCTCAAGGGCACAAGAGTTGGTATTATTACCTAAGGTATTATTATACCTATCAAAATAGAAGCCAACTTCAACCTACCATGACAATTACTGCACCTGAATAACCTTGTTACTATCCTTCTCGAAACACCTCCATTACCTGAAAATGCCCGAACAAACCAATCTCGAGTCCAGCGGCTTATCGGTGCGCTCTCGCCCTAAAGTCACCAACTTCTTGCCTATACTCAAAACGATCGATGGACTGAACGCTGTGGCTGCGAATGTTGATGTGGATATGGCTATGGGAGAGAACTGGCTTATCCGCGAACCATTAGGTGCTATTTGGAAGAAGGTTGTGGCCGAGGAGTTTGATGCAAAGGTGAATAGGTTGTTCTTCTCTTCTTTGACTTGATGTTAATTATATTTGACGCCTGATACTATTTTGAACCATTTGGCTTTAATGCTAATCGTTTCCCTTTTATGTTCGCTTTTCCCATCCGCAATGACGTATCAAGGGTATCAAATACTCTGTTGTCCACTCACTAATGAACAATAGGACCTCAGCTATTCTCATGGAATTGGGGGTAGTCTCCCGCTGCTCTCTGCCTTCTCATCCTTCTTCAACCAGTTCTTCCATTCCCGTATTCACATCACGCCAGAGCATGTGACTACAATTGCGGGAGCCAGCACCTGTCTTGACTCCCTACTCTACGCCGTCTGTGACGAGGGAGATAGTATTCTGCTGCCGTCACCGTTTTGGGGTACGTATTGGGTCTCTGTATTCCCCCTTCCAAAGCTGACATCAAACAGGAGGCTACGGCGCTTTCAGTAAATTCCGCGCCGACGTGAACATCATCCCCACTGCAAGTCTACCTCTACGGACTGCTCTATCCTCAGATATTGTAGCGGAAGTGAAGACTGCATACGCCAGCGCCCCAGACCCTAAACGTATCAAGGCGTTGTTGGTAACCAACCCCCATAACCCAATAGGACGCTGCTATTCCCCGTCGACACTGCGAGAATTGATGGCTTTCTGTCAGGAAAAGGGCCTGCATTATATCTCGGATGAGGTGTTTGCAATGTCTGTATTTGGGGGAGAGGGCGACGAAAAGTTCACGTCAGCACTTGCGCTTGTGGATGATGGGGAGGAGAGTCCTATAGATGCAAACCGCGTGCATGTAATCTATAGCATGAGCAAAGACTTTGGATCAGCTGGTATCAGGATGGTATGTCATTGCATCCTCTTTCTTCCTTGCCCTAAACAAAGAAATGCACAAAAGTTGACAAGCTTGGTAGGCATGTCTCGTTTCCCCCCGCAACCGCCCTGTCCTCGACGGAAGCATGCTTGCCAACTACCTCCAAACATCCAATTTCAGTAGCATTTACACAACTGCAATCTTAACCTCCCCCTCTCTTCCGTCCATTCTCGCAGATCTAAACTCTCAGCTCGCGAAGAATTACGCCCTTCTTACCCAAGCTCTCGACCAGTGGGGCATCGATCACCTGCCCACTCATGCGGGTTTCCACCTGTTTGCAAAATTGGCCAAGAACGCTCAGACCTGGGACGAGGAAATGGCTTTCGTCAAGCAATTGTTGCATGCTGGTGTTATGGTGGCTCCGGGGAAGAATTTCGGTGGTGTAGATGGTCAAATCGGTTGGGTTAGGATGTCTTTCTCAATTCCGGAGAAGGATTTACGGGTGGGACTGGAGAGAATTAGCGAAACTTTGGGTTTAGGCAAGACTGGTGAGGAGAAGTAAGTCATATGCTTTGTATGTAAATCTACTAGCGAAATCTCTATTATGCTGCTAAGGGAGTTTGTATATTAGAGATTCGCGACACTTCTAGCCCCACTTGAGCATTGCCGTTAAACATTGGTCAGCTTCCTATCAATAGACGAGACGTAGCATGAGATTCGTGGCCTGTACCAAGCAAGCGTGTGGTTTATGCTACGCATACTTGACTCGGAGGACCCAAGCAAACGAGATGAACTCAGCTGTTTGTTTGTCGTTGTAAAAGACTCAAACTGGCAGTAAGACTATGCATGTCTGGGAGAAAGGTCGTACAGTAATCAAGCATAATATCATGTGTTATTCATGATGGTAATCTGCGGTAAATGATATATGTGATTGCGACGTTGAGATTTGCAAGCGATGTGGATATAAACATGGAAGTCTTGAATGATAACGACAAATCTCTATTATGAAGGCTTCATTGACTGCATAATTATGTCCAGCCTTGCTTTTTAGGGCTTCTTCACTCTGTAATTGTGAATATGATCATGTTCAGCGGTTGAAACCATTTGAAACTAGGTCGCCTATGAAGTTTAATTTGCCATTTCTGGCTTTTCCACATGTCCTAGTAATTTACCCAACAGATCTTAGTATAATAGCCAACAAGTTAGACATCACTGGAGGTTTTACATTGGGAAAGGAATTAGATAGGAAAGATGATTCACAGAAAACCAATTACACAAACCCGGAACAGGACTAGTTGCTGGTTTATTGGTGTTTCCAGCTAATCAAACTTTACAATTGTGAATACTTAGGTCAGTCCAAAAATATATAAGACAGCCAGATTGCGGCACTCACCAAATGCCCAACACACGCAATGTCTACACCAGCCAGTCAAAGAATGTTACCCCCCACCTCCCCACTTACATCCAACTTGCGAGAGCTTATCGAGACCCTCCTTCAAATCGTAGAGCTAGAGCTCTCGGGCCTGAACAGAGCTGGTAATTCAACATTGAAGGAAGCTGCGACTTACTACGGCCAGCGTACGGTAGCTGCTTTACAAGGCGCTTTACGAGCCCAACACGGGCAAACACTACAAACCATACGGGGATTTTATACATGGAACATGAGGATTTTCCATACGAAGCTAGCTGATCTATACGGCTTGTCAAACTTCACGGCCAATGTGACAGATGCAGAACGCACTACACACATACTCGCAGAAAATCGCCTACTTCGCAAAGCACTTGACGCCTCTTTAGCCATAGTCGATCGGATCCAATCGACCGATGATCCTAGTACACAAAGGAGTCTCACCGCCAAACAATGATTCTTTCCGCTACTCTCCCATAAATCAATTTAATCTCAGCTCCTTATTCCTACGGGTTTAATGGAGGATAGGGGAAGCCGGGAAATGAGAGAGTGTGGCCGGGATAGCAGACTACGACATAAACAATGAATATAATTTGGTAACCTCATCTAAACGAATTCTACTTGCAATAACAATTAAAGGTGATTATATTGTGCTATCCTTTACCTTTATAGAAGTTGCTTGTTCCTAGCCATGGTCTCTTTATCGCATTACACTACTATCTTTCTGTCATTTACAGTCTCAACTATAAGCACAACTAACACATTGAATTCGGCAGTGAATTGGAGGCAAAGATAACGCGACTTGAAAAATCTGTGTGTTGGTTTCACAAGGTCCGAGTTCGCAATTGCAATTTTGTCAACTTGGGTGAATCTCAAATATGAATATCAGATATCAACTTCGACCTTTGGCACTGGCAAAACATTCGAATCTTCTTACAACACCAAAGCCAACAACGCTCAAAGTATAGATAAGATGGCCTATTTTCCAAGTCATCTCGGGTCTTATGAGTGCCCAAAAGAACACACGCCCAAGATAGCTCTTCGCTCTGTGCGCCGCGCCGCCACCACCGCAGACACCCGGCTTGCGCCTGCTAGAACATTTCCCCAACGACTAAAGAACAAGATAAGCTTCTTTGTCGACAATGATGATTGCTCCCAAGCTGATGCGAAGAGAATAGCTTCAACAAGCAGCGGTAGTCGCACAGAAGTGGACCAAAGCCTCATCGACGAATTCCTCAAGCTCCCAAAGCTGAAAGGCTCAGTTCTACTTGGCCTTGCAAGCGACCAACTTTCCGATGGTGCCATGACGCTCGAAAGCCTTCTTCCAAAGGAAGCAGTTACAAAAGATGCTGGAAGGATGGTCAAGCCTGGAGAAGTGAAGTCGGTTACCATTAAATCTCCGAGAGAATCGCCAAACAAAACACCTAAACGCCAATACCGCCCACAAGATCCTCTTCCCACCCCCCCTGCATCAGTACGTCACCTTCAAAGCAAGAGCCTCGATTTCCAACCTATGTATTACCCGGCGAATGGTCAAAGATGGAGCTTGCCAACCGGAGCAAAGCATTGCACGATGCGCGCCATCCAACAAACCGATAACCTCTTCTCCCAAGTCGCCATTCTCGAGCAGTCAAAACAGCGCGAGAGCATTACAACGGCATTGCAAGGAACAAAGGCTGCGTTGATGAAGAAGCTAAGTGCTAGGAGCTTTGAGGAGTATTCGCAGCTGGAGGGGCACATTACACGGGAATTGAAGATTGTGCAGACGGCACAGGCGGAGCTTTTGGCAAAGGGAGCGATGGAGCTTGAAGGAGAGAAAGACGAGAACCAGGATGGGGATTGGACTGAGGTTTTAGGGGATGAAAGCAGTGAGGAAATCGCTGTTGCAAAAATCCAGCATATGTGAATAGTGGCATCGGAAGAGCTAATTTAGAACGGAGGATTGGTCTCCGCACTGGTGGGGGCAAGGATACTTTGCTGTTTTGTGGTAGAAGATTGATCGGTTATATACTGCTCTAAAGGGTAGGAACCGAGGGTACATATCGCTGAGAAGTTCAGAGGAATTGCAGAGCATACAAAATAAAAGCACGCATCTCCGGAACGTATGTAACGGTAAGCATTGCAAGGCTAGTATGTAATGAGGTGAAGTACTTGCATTCACAATGGTTGACAGGTTAAGCGAGACTGCCATGAGACGGAACTAAAGGGGGGGTGACACGTGACTAGGAACTCACAAAAGATCTTGACGACCCACACAACGCAAAGAGCCTCTATGAATCTCATCGTCAACAAAAATACCAACTAGAGGTTTCAGATTCCAACCAGGAACACAATCAGCAAGAGCTTTAAAATCAATCTGCGCGCTATAAGCAATCCAAACCCTCCGTGTCCGAATACTATCTCAAAAAAACACGAAAACCTTCCATCTACGTCGCGAACGAATTCACAGAGCGCCCAAGACAATAATACTAAGAGAATACTTTAATTATGTCAATAGTGGGATTTGAAAAGGGTCTCTTGGCAGGAATCGCACGCATCGCCGACAGGTGGAACAGACAAAGAACCTTGGAGACCGAGAGCCATATATGCGCAATCTCTGGCAGGTATTTAATGTCCTGATAGGGATTTTCTGAAGACGATTCCGCAGATACGGTCAACGAGTTCCTGCAGGAGTGCTTCATGTCGGAACCGAGTCCCGCACGAGAGATTTCAATACTCTATAACAAACATGCGGCAGATTTGAAGCTGCGACGCCCAGTAAACATCATCCAGCTCCCTCCTCGTGATTCTCAGTCTAATACGATATCAGAATCTTGTACTCCTAAATCCGAAGTGCCTACATCGCTTCAGCAGCCTCAATCCTCGAAACACATCCAGAACGACAAAAGCAAGAAGAAGCATGACGAAGAGAACAGCGTTCATCCGAAAACACCACATAAAGGTAGTTAAACCGCGACGAACCCCCTTGAGAATGGAAAACTGCAATGACAGGTGAACATTAACGGATTCCTGAAGACGGTCTTCGAGCCCCAACCAGTCGACTGGAGCCAAATTTCGAACAATGTACCTTTTAAAGTTGTCACGGATCCCGAAATCCAGAAGCTTCTTCCAGGCTTAATACAATGGTATGCGCGCCTACTAGACGCAAAGTTTGGCCAGAAGGAAGGAACATCTAGCAAGCATTAGGAAGCAACTGCGGCTATGCTAAAACGAGCTGGCGTTCTATCGTTCAACTATTTGAAGTACAATTTCCAATTAACGATTATAGCAAAAGCCACCAACTTCTACGCTAGAGACATAAACTCCCAGGTTCGGATTTGGCGCGGAAGGTATTTCCACCTGCGCGCAGGCTTAAATGAAGAAAGCCGCAGCGCCACAATGCCAGAAGGACATAAACGGGTATATGTATAGAGTCTGGGAACAAGCGTAGACGGATGGTCAGGTGTCACTCAAGCGCGGAAATTGGAAGACACCTGCATTCATCAAAAATAGCATTCATTGGCCGTTTACCCTGGTATCTAACGCCTCATAACTCTCCCCAGCCAGTAGTATGTTTATATCCCAACTCATCAAGCCAAGATCTCTGAAGCATCGTAAAATACATCATCCCCCTCTGAAGAGCCGGAACTTGACATGATAGCTCCAATACTCCCCATCCTCTTGATCCGCTGCGAGCTCGGCGTAAGCGGTCCGCTGTCAGGAGGTGTAGGTAGGTTAATCTTCGAGTCGTATACTTCTTCTGTTGCTACGACAATAGTATTGTCTTCGTTGGACCAGGACGTCTGCCCTCGAGCCTCACTGTCGTCTACTACAATCGTATCTGCATTAGAGACGCCACGGGAAGATCGCGTTTGGTAGGCGTGGTTCGTGGGTCTGGAAAGCGCAGACTTGGGCGCTGGTTGGCGAGGCGGAGCAGGAACATCTCTCTTGGGACTATGATGCAGTGGCAACGTCGCTCCAGAGGGGGGATGTGAAACCAGCATAGGGCCAGACAGCCAGTCGTTCTTTCCACCGCCGAGGTTTGGGAATTGGTTCGAAGCGCCATGGAACGACCAATGGTAGCCAGAGAAATTGACATTATTGGAGAGTGGCTTCATTGGCTCGCGAGGCATTTCGGGCAGGGCAGGGAACCTGCGGCGGATTTCAGTCCATTGTGCCATCATTGTGCTCTTGAGCGTTTCTTCCCGGTTGGGCTTCTGCACTCGTGGAAATATTGGGCATGATTTCCTCTTCTTGCTCGCTGTTATAGTGGTGCCTTTGGAGGAAGCTGGAAGGGATTTGCGGACCTTGGAAGCTGGCTTTTTGGCAGGTTCGGCTTTTATTGATGTTGACACTCTGGGCGCGGGCCGGTCCCAATATGCAAAGCGTGAGCCAAGTTGGCCTTTGAAATCTGGAAACCTACCGAGGGTGTCCAGGATCTTAAAGGTAACAAACACACCATTCATCTTGTCGTCCCGTGTGGCTTGAGGTCGTGATCGATTCCTCGACAGAGGCTTGACATCATCGGACGACTCTCTTCTCTTCTCCTCAATCCTTGTACCCTGTGGTAACCATATATCTTCGCGTTTCTCTTTCAAGTCCAAAACCCAAGCATCACAATCCCATTCGACCCAGTAATCTATAACATCACCCCAGAGACTCTCCGACGGCTTAGTGCGGTTGATAAACACCACCTTCCCACCTCGGGTGTGAATGGCTTTTGCGAACTCCTTGATCATGACCTTTAATCCATGAACCTTCAAACTGGTTCCCATTATCAGCAGAACATCAGGGCCAAGACTCAAATCATGCGTAATCAATGGCCCAACTAAATCAGCACTGGGGTGCTCCTCTCCGTACAAGACGATATCAGGCCTCAGCCGTCCCACAGCAAGACTTCTTCTTCCTCGCCCAGTTCGTTTATTACTGTGGTCTTCGCATTGCGGGCAATCTGGGGCGTGGCCGGACAATGTAGCAGCCTCTCGGTCTGGGTCATCCCAGCTTGATAATTTTGCGCAAATCCCGCACCGTAGCTGGCCCAGGCTTCCGTGGAGCAGAACAACCTCGACTCCTCCGTTGTGAGGACTGTCTCCTCCGATGTCGAGAGGTCGTGCCTCCTGTTGGGTTTTGTGATGGAATCGCGCTCTGTTACCCGCCCCACGGCCGAGGTCCGTACATAATCCCAAGCGTTCTTCGAGCAAATCAATGTTTTGCGTGTAATTACGCACCAACCGTCCGCTATCCCGTAAAACCTTGATGAAATTATGTGTCTCGGTCGTCGCAGTGACCTCATGGCGAATCTTTTTTCGTAAAGAGGAAATGAACATGTAAAAGATCGAGGTGGTAAAGGGGTCGTTCCATATGATAGAATCGAAAAGATCACGCCCCTTGAGATTTGGGAGGGTCCGGGAAGATTGAGAGGACTGTGTAGCTGATGGTTCATCGTCTTCAGACTTCGTCAAGGAACTTGTTTCATGTCGTTTTAAAGGTTGTCGGTCTTGGACGTGGTGAATCCCAGCTGAGCTGGTGGACGTAATCGAAGCTGCCGTACTAGATGCAAAAGTGATGGTTGAAATGGATTGTTTGCGGGAAGTACTTGCGCTTGAAGACGGTTCGGACACAGTGACAGAGCTTGTGGTCGTGAAAGAGCTTTCAATTGATGTGAAATCGGCATGCGCGCTAGATCGGCGTGAGGTTCTCCGTGAAGGCGGCTTGATTTCTATTGTGGACGAGGTTTGGATGTGGACCCCATCTGCGGTTGATTCCATAGCTGAGGCATGGGTCTGTGTAGACGCAACGTCTGGCAGCTCTAATGCCTCCTCGGACGTGTTGTCAGGATATAACTCGGATTGCGATGAAGGCGGATCGGACAGAGGACTCGAGTCTGCAAGGCTGCGTACGGGGGTGGTAGATCGGGGGGTAGCAACAGACTGAGATCTACGAGAGGATCTTAATTCTGGCTCTGATAGTTTTGCAGGCTCCTGCTGCGAAGAAGCTGTATCAATCACATCGACTACTTTGCCATCCGGTGCCACAACCTCGTAGAAGTACGACGGCTTTGCTCGTTTTCTAGGCCTGTCGTCAATATCGAAGGTATTCGTATTTTCCCATGGGGGGTTTTGCAAAGCTGCGTCGTATTGAGCTTGGATCAGAGAGTAAAGTCCATCTTCAGAGCGGAAATCCTATCAAACTGTCAGTAAAGTCAACATTGAAGTGGCTTGCGATTTACTTACAGGTATCCCACAGTTTGTACTTATTCCAGCTCCCGTAACAACCACCACTTTCCTCGACTTTCCCAACGCGTCCGCAATCAATTGTAGTTCCTGTCTGGAGTCGGGACCAACATTGATAGTCGGCATGATGCTCAATTGTACAGAACGCCGTATAACGGGTTTTTAGTTTTCAAACCTCCCAAACAAACTTCTTATAAACGGTCCCTGCCGTCCGTCAAGCCTTGTCAAAACCCGTCCAGTTGAGATATGGTCCCCTTTGGGCTGGGAGAGCAGTCTGCAGTCTGCCAACACGACGTGTTAAAGTCCTAGCAGATAGCCTCTCAACGCATCGTTTGCCTCAAATTCGATTGTGGTGAGTTGCGTTCCTCTGCGCGTATATTGCCAGTCCCAGTCCCCGTCCCAGTTCCGGTGAAGTATTTACACCAACTTCACTGCCACTTACGCGCCTGTCTTGCGACTTTCGAATACTCCCGACTCGACTCCGATGAACGTCTCGCAGGGTTGCAGGTTGTACCCCAGGCACCAAGACTCCAATTGGACCCTTCGGGGAGGTTCGCGTGCCTCTGCGGAGGTTGACTTCGATTGGGGGGGGTGGTGGAGGATTCGTGGTGCCGATAAGATATCGATGAGGTGCGACGTGATTTCTCGGTATTCTGGCGCGACAAGAGGTTCCTTATGAATTGCAATATGACTCCTGTAATGAGAGATACCAAAAATGGGATAAAGGCGCGACGAAAGGGGCGTAGAAAGGTGTTGGCTGGGGGAGCGCGTTGTTGGAGGTTGGTGGTGAGGTTGAAATGTCGCGTCCAGCTCACGGGGCTGTTTACTTGACGTCCAGGAATCTGATTCAGCCTGTGCAAACCCTGCAAGCTGCTTCCCCCGCCCTTAAAAACATCCACCGCCGACCCACGAGCCACTTCCACTTCAATGCCTCGCCTCCATCTCTCCTACTCTGTAATGTTTTCACCCTCTCAGTCACTCACTCAGTCGGAGGTAGTACCTTCAGTTTGACAGACCGCGCACAATATTATATTCCGTGTAGGCCAAGATGCATGGCATTAAATAGGTAGTTGCTCGATTCTACGCCACCAACCTAACAGTCTGGAACTGATAGAACTTCTTTTCCATGCTTAACGAGCGCTCCAAAATCACCTTCTTTGATGCTTTAGCTACGGCATTATAACTGTAGCTATTCCGCAAAGTTTATATCAAGTGCTCTAAAGTCATGCTGAGTAAATAAAATATATGCTATTTCATCTCTTAACGTTCCCCTTTGATAGTTGCTCTGGGCCCAGGACCTTGCTTCTCAAATGCATAGGCAGATTCCATTAAAATTGCTGATGATGTGTACCTAGGTTTGTAATCAATCTATCTGTCCCTCCAATTCCCATATCGTTTGCTGTTTGGTACCCCGCGGAGTCAACGACAGCTCATTAACAAGCAGTTGGCATTGGAAATACCATCAAACTCCAAACTTTGTTGCAAATTGCTGTTTCCGAGTCATGATCATGGTGTATAAGTAAACCTTAGGATGACTCTGCAAGAATAGAAACATTTTTAGCCCCACCTTCTATTTCTCCAGGTTCAAGTCTTAGGTTTGAAGTGCAAGTCCATTAAACCGAGAAGATGCCCCAAAAGCTCCAGTTTGTCTGGCCGAAAGATGGCCCTAAAGGTCGCAGTGGCCATCGTGGTTTTTTTGGTCGCATGAACAATGTCCTGACGAACAGAGGGCCTGATATCTTCCTTCAACGAAAAGGCAGTTCAACTCCTATCTCACCGGATTGCTGGTCGAACTGGTATTTTAACTGCTGTTCTGCTATAGGGATACACGTCTGATGCTTGCAGGGACTCTTATCACCAAAGGAACTACCATTACTTGGAAGAAGCTGGCCCCTACGTCTCGCGAGGTGTCAAACGATATGACCCGCATTCGAGAAGATACAAGACATGGACCATTCCACATGACTGGGAAGGCGACTATTCTGCGCAGGGTATATATCCCCATTTCACGGCTTCAGAGTGGAGAAGAATGGCTAGGAGACTGGGCAAAGGGCACCTTGTTGATCCGTTGAAGATGGGTGACGATTGGCATCAAGATGGACCCAAGGTTCGTTTCCCGATTCCCGACTATGTTTATTAATTGATGCCCTTGCAGAGATTTCGACAGGAGCTTGATGAATTCTGGCAAGAAGCTCATCGCATTGGTGAAAATTATCGGCAAGGGCTTCCTCTAACGAGTGTCCGAAACCCCAATTTCAGGATGCATCAACAGTGGCCGAATGACCTCCAGAATTGGATGATCGACGAGGAGCTGAACCAAATGTGGTTTCCAAGAAGATAAAATCCGTAGTCTGGATCTGCGTGCTCTTTTGGGGTTGTTTCCTTGGACCATGTTTGGCAAGAGAATGATGATTGCTTGGTGCTGAGAATGTAGGCCTACGGGAATGATGAGGCGTTGGTAGGATTGTTTGATGGGTAGGGCACGGAATTGTCTAGACGGATAATGTTAATTCAGATGACTTCTTCTTCAGCACTTCAGCAACCATAGACTACCAAAACTTCAAGTCCAGTAGAAGATCCAATATCAAACCGAGTCCGTGGATTGTAAAAGGGGGGTCTGGAGAAATCATTCGCGCAGGAAGGTAAGCCGAGGCGCTACTCTTACCTCCACCCCCATTTCTGCTTCCCCCGTACAACCCCACATGGCGTCTCCAGATGCCAATGAGGGGCAGACCCGTCATAATGCGGCTACACTCGATAAACCTTCTTTTAGTTGAATAAGAGGGTAACAGTGATCCGGTGCGGGCGTACCTTGTGTATTGTGCTTCTGTCTTACAAAAGCCTTCTTTTGTTCCCAAGTATCACCATTCGCTTCACTTCAATTCTCCAACCTCAATCACGTCTTCAACTTCACTTGCCCGTACACCCTCCGCAATCCACCATGGGAGACATTACACCCCAAACCCAAGTTGAGCTGCCATCTTCCGAGCGCTGCGAACCTGGTTCTCTCCCTCTAGCTATCGCCCAAGTCCCTGAGATCTCACCAGCAGATTCAATCGATGCCCACACTGTAGCTTCTAAATGGATCTCGTCAATCAACAAGACCCTGAATACATCGAATTTCGGTGAAATATCAAATCTCTTCCTCACAGAATCCTATTGGCGAGACCAGCTCTGCTTGTCATGGGACTTCCATACCCTTCACGGACCAGAGAAGATTGCCTCCATCCTCAAGGAATCCAAGAATGGCTCTCGTATCAAGTGGCTAGATCTGGACACGAGTTCGGCTCTTCGCTCACCTACTGCAAAACTCAATGATGAAGGCAAAGTAGTCGAAGTGCAGGCATTCCTCACCGTCGTAACCGATGTCGGAAGCGGAGCAGGTATTGTAAAGCTGGTACCGCAAAAGGGAACTTGGAAAGCGTTCACGCTGTTCACTTTCTTGAAGGGACTCAAAGGTCACGAGGAGTCGGTTGGGAAGAGAAGACCAGTAGGGGTCGAGCACGGAGAGCATACATCTCAGAAAAACTGGCTCGATCGGCGGGTCGATGAGGGCGCTTTCAGCGAGGGCGATGAACCAACTGTTCTGATTCTCGGTATTTCTGACTTGATCAGTCCTTGAATGATACTTACTAATCTCTGCTAGGCGCTGGTCAAGCGGGGTTAACAATCGCGGCGAGACTGAAGATGCTCGGTGTCAAGTCATTGATTATCGACCGTGAGCTACAGATTGGTGACAATTGGAGAACTCGATATCATCAGTTGGTCCTGCACGATCCAATTTGGTTTGACCATCTACCCTACCTTCCATTTCCGGATACTTGGCCAATCTTTACACCAAAGGACAAGTTGGGAGACTGGTTCGAATCTTACGTTAAGCTGCTGGAATTGAATGCCTGGACACAGACGAGTATCAAGGAGTCATCGTGGGATGATTCCACTGCTTCTTGGACCGTCGAAGTGGAGCGAACAGAGAATGGAAAGACAACAACTCGAACTCTTCATCCACAGGTAAGCACAAAGGCATGCGAACAAGTCTTCAACTAACACGGATAGCACATTATCCAAGCCACGGGTGCTAGTGGGGAAGCAAACATCCCTGATATCAAAGGACTCTCAACCTTCAAGGGTGACCGTATCGTTCACTCATCTAAATACACCGCTGCCAAACCATCACATGGCGAGAACAAGCGTGCCATAATTGTCGGCTGCTGCAACTCGGGCCATGATATTGCTCAAAATTATCACGAGAATGGATATGCAGTCACAATGGTCCAGCGATCTTCAACATTTGTCATCTCAGCAGAGACGAATGTAGCAGGGTTAGTTCCATTGTACTGTGAAGGCAGCCCACCAACGGAGGATTCGGATATCATGAACTTCGGAGTTCCCAACCCTGTCGTCAAGAAAACAGGTATTGATGAGACGAAAATACAGCAAGAGGAAACAGACAGAGAATTGCTTCAAGGACTGGAGAAGGCAGGCTTCAACCTTGATAGAGGTCCTGGCGGAGCTGGCCTTTGGATCAAGTATCTGCAAAAGGGCGGCGGGTATTACATTGATGTCGGCTGCTCGCAGCTCATCATCGACGGCAAGATTAAAGTCAAACAAGGCCAAGAAATCGCCGAGATTCTTCCTAACGGTATCAAATTTGCAGATGGCGAGATCCTTGAGGCGGATGAAATCGTTTTGGCAACGGGTTACCTGAACATGCGTACTCAATGCCGAAAGATCTTTGGCAGTGCGGTTGCGGATCGCGTCAAGGATGTTTGGGGCTTTGATGAAGAGGGCGAGAGTAGGGCGCTTTGGAGGAAGAGTGGACATCCTGGGTTCTGGTTTATGGCAGGTAATCTGGCTCTTTGCCGATTTTACTCGAGACCACTTGCTCTGCAGATCAAGGGGCTGGTGGAGGGAATTTACAAGTATGGTGATTTGTGAGGTTTGGGTGGTTAGCAAACGTTGGCGTTATTTGCATAGCATAGCTCAAAGGTAATTTACAAAGGGGAACGAATGTGATAAGAGAACTCAATTAAGGGATCCAGCTGTGGAAAGGCTTTATATTAGATATCACTGCCGTACGTCGGGAGCTTGATGATCCAATATAATCAGTATTACTATCCTCGTGGTACTCCTTAGCCACGCTATCTTTGACTTTGTCGTCGCTTGAAGTCAAGTCATGTTTGGGCAGGCTTCTTGTGGATACGATTTTCGCAAACAATATTGACTTGTTGAAATCCAATGTGGAAAGCCCCAAAGTGAGGCTAGAAATGAAGGAGGACTTCAAGATGAAAATATTGTAATATGAATAAACAAATGGTTAAAGTGAGTAAAAGCTAAATGAACGACAGTGATTAGAGCGAACGACAGTGAGTAGAGAAATAAAAGTACTTGACGGTCTAGCCCTTTCTAGTAGAACTTTTATATCCACAATTTCAAACACTTGATAATTCAGTGCCTTCTTGCAGCATAATGGGTAGATGTAAGATTTGAACATATACAGCAAGAGGACATGGCCACAGAAATAAGCGTGTTTACATTGCTTTGGACCCCAAACGATTATTACCAAAGTAAAGATATCTTCTAGGTCAGATATACGGTGCAGTCGATGGGTTTACCGTGAATAATCCATGCTGTGTTGTGATGAAGAAAGAAGAACGTCGGAGATCGACAAAATCTAGACCATACTCAAGTACATGCATGTACAGTACAATCCTCACCGGCACCACACCACCCACCACCAGCAACCTCGAGTCCAGACGTCGGCATCGACAATGCGCATGCCAATTCTCTCTGGATACTCTACTTGTATCTGTAACACTCGTTCTCTTTGAGTCCTTCTCGCGCCTATCTGTCCTAGGAATGGCAACGCGTCCCCACTTTCCTAGCCCCGGACGCGTCTGAATATCCTCATGCGCTCCACCCAAAACATCCAAGACGACTGAAATCGCATCTATGTTCGATCATTCATAATCCGTTGAAGGCACATTTACCTCGGATACCCCAAGATGGCACCAGAAACCCCGCAACAATATCCCCTCTACGATGCAACTCTTACCCTCCAGCGTATTTCGCCCCTCTATATTGGCAGCGACACTCCCCTCGAGAACGCCACTCTACAAATATACGCGCAGCAGTTCCGAGACATCCTCGCCGGCGATGTACTGCGTGGTGTACGCGTCGGGCTGTCTGAGGACACTTCAATAGCACGCGTTGGAGCTCTGCAGACTGTGACATGGAAACTTCTGCCGGACGAAGACGTATGGACTGGGGCAGACGAGACACAAATGACGGGCAATGAAGACACGACAACGAGCCTTGCTGCTTCGAGAGGCATGCAGGTTACAATTACATACGAAAAGGGGGACTATACAGCTATTTTACTACGTGACATGCAAGGCGACCAGGATGAATCCGCCATTGGAGTTGGTCTGGACGGATATGGCTTCCAAAGCTTCCCCCTGCTTTTAATGAAAATGCCGGCGACATTGCGAGATCCATTCACGCAATTCCTGGCCGACACATTCGATGCTCGAGCCTCGACTTTTCGACTCCCAAGCCTCTTCCTCACGACTGCACTCGACCAATACCTTGCGTATATATGTGTTGGGGAGGACGGAGAGCCATTGGATACTCTGGAAAGCAGTCGGATTTTGAGGACGATAATTGGATCCATTTCTGTAGAGGTTGGATTTGACATCCCAGGTGGATCGACTACTCTCAAGACCATTCAAATCCATATTGCCAGCGAAGACGTACCTCGTATGGTCTCCCGGGGGAAACGACTGGTAGATGGGCCAGAGACACCATTTATGGCGGCCCTCACAGCATATGTCAAAGCACATTTGGCTTTGGACCTAAGCCACGATATGGTCAATATCGTGGGAGTACACTGTCAAGCGTTTCTGCTAAATAGTGCCGGCAAAGCTAAATTCGGTCTACCACATGTTGCAGATGACGGCGAAAGTCCTCAGAGGAGAGCTACGAAGAGATTGATCCATGGGCTCATCGCTACTGCAAAGAAAGGAAGATGATCATGGGCAATGAAGGGAGTTGAGTTTTACCAAGGAACGAAGCACAATATCTCCGCGTTCGCTGAAGAATGAGACGCAACAGACGACCTCACATCCACTGATGGAAGGACATCCTCACATCTTGGGGCTCAACGCACGAGGCATACTAGGTACCACGATACTAGCCACTCATAACCATCGGCATTGCAGTAATGCACACGTCAAGATGTGTACACAAGCCGAGTTGCACCTAGAGATGCTACGAGTTCTCTTGCACCAGCCAGACATTCGACGTGCATTCGTTAGCTATCATAAGACATGACCCGAGAGCAATCAAACTGAAACAATCTTCCCCTGTTACAGTTGTGCCTCCTCGGTCTCCCTGTTATCGCCCTTCAGCACTATTTTCGAATTTTCAAACCGAATCCCTGTTATCATACAACTGATCCACCTCCTCAATTGCAACCCTTCCCAGATCTGGCAAGATATATGAAACCAGTAAGAATATGATGATCCTCCATGTACGAAAGCAGCACGAATTCCGAGGTTTCCAGCATTAAAGTTATATGGGGTACGCTGAATGTGAATGGCTAAATGCTCTGCGTCGTCTATTATAATAGTGGATAGCAATTGAGACAGGGGAATTGAAGAAGAATCACTACCCCACGATATCCAAACCCCTGTTTAGGGAACTAATGCCTCTTCTTGTGGACATCTTCTAAATACCTAGGTGGACTTCTCGAATTTTGTGATGCATATGTCCACTTGGCGCGGTGTTGGCTGACATGAGACTTGTGGACAACTTCAATCTCCCTCTACGTTTCACCCGCTTGGTCTAACAAGCTATTCCATAGAAACTTTCCCAAGTCCTATAATGTTTTACAACCTATATAAAGGATCGCTCCCACTTAGAGAAGCATGTGGTAGATATAAAAAAAGGCAGCACTTACTTTTAATGTTCCATGTCGCCTAGCAAATCCGTTGGTATCACAGGGGAAGATCACTTCTCACTAGCTAGTAAGACTTGATACTGGTTTTGGTTGTTTCATTCATGATGTCCAGAGGCTTTCGTGTGTTGCAGGACGAAGAGGTTATGCCTTCTTCGCTTATGTCAGCTGCGCTAAGTCACATGACTAGAAAGGTCCGCAACGCCCCCCAGCCCCCCCACGAAGTAGTCCCGATAGAATCAAAGGTTGATTGTGGTAAGTGCCAATTTTTCTATCTAACATAGAAGCATACGGCTTTATATGGAGGAGGTCTCATAACTATATAGGAGCTAACAAGATGTGAATTCCTGGTGGTCTTCAATCAATTCCTATGTAGTACCTCGTCAAGAGGCCTCGATGACCTTGTCGCAAACGTCAACCAAGATAAGATGGCGGCACTGAATGATCATGAGTCAAAAAGGCAGAGCAGTCCCGCGAAATGGACTCCGACGGGGAATACAGTGTGGTTTGGTTTCCAATGGGGAGGTCGGTATTCGGGAAAACCTATCTAGCACATTACGATACACTGAATGCTGCGTACAGGATGGGAAATCCAGCTGATTCAAAAGACACACTTTCCCCGCGAGAAGCTACTTTGAAGGAAAGTATTGTAGCAGCGATGCCATCAAGTGAGAGCACTTCGCTGCTGCGTTGCCAATCTACTTGGCATGTATATATGATGCCTGCGAATCGCCTGTGCATCTGGGGGACGTCGAGCGGTGGAAGGCGAATGTCGAAGGGAGGGAGTAGTGGGTGAGGCCTGTTCTTGCAGGGTTGGAGAGTGTTACTGTGACGCTGGAGAGGGGGTTTGATAGTGAGTACGATATGGAAGGGGATCTGCAGTATCACTTTGCGTATTTGAAGGAGACTATTGCTGCACTTTTTGCTCTCGAAGGATGGGCCATTGTTGTATCTGAAAAGTCTTCCGAACCCACCACCACGACTGATCAAATTATCAACGGCCGCGATGACCGAGACTGTGATTTACAAAATTTGTAAGCTCTCTAATATCACGAGGGCATTCAAGTAAGCGCATTGGAACTACAGCTGTCAAGATAACGAGTCGCAACCGCGATAATGTTTAGGTGAACATCTTTGCTTTGGGGTTTATTGCAGGGGGGTCTTCTTTTTTTTAGCGACATGCATAAAAGGGGCCATCCCATCCCATCATGCTTATATATCCTTCTCTTTGTTTAGGCTGAACGTCACAGATTTCGTGAAACGTTCCAGCTTCGGACCCCATCTAAACATTTTGATGCTCGACGTTTCTGCAACCCCCGTTTCTGTAATGACTCGCATTCGGGGAATTGGTCAGCTTCCACTCCACTCCACTTTTGCGTTTTGACGCTGCGGGACGCACGGCTGTTGCCGCCCACGGAGATAGAAACCTTCAATCGTCAACATGTCCTTCCCACGACATACCGAGACGGCGAGACCTAGCTGGTGTGGTGTGGTTTACGATCGTATTAAATATGGACCAGTTTAATCTTGGCAATACCTCTGGACCACAAGTGGACTCTACAACCATCTTAGGCTCAAAAGCGTCACGACAGGTACCTGCGACACAGGGTGACCTCTTCGTCTGCGATCAGTGCCCAAAGGTCTTCAATCGTCGTGAAAACTTGAGCCGGCACCAAAAGACACGTATGTAGTCCATATACTACGCTGGATGTTTACAAGCTGACTTTCAACAGACGATGCCTCACCAGCACACCGTTGTGCGCAATGCAGCAAAACTTTTACGCGAAGTGACCTCCTCCGGCGTCACGAGGCGGGCCACGACAGATGGGATAAGAAGAAAGACCCGCGTAAAAGCGAAAATGATTCTGCTAAACGCAGGAAATTTGCATCGGATGAGTTAGTTGAAAGCTCAACGTCTTCTCCAAGCGCTTCCGGGTCGACGCCCAATGCTATGAAACCCCAGAGGAATTATTCTCCCACTCCTCGATATCAGCATGTTGACACGGGTCATTCAAATCCGACCGTCAGCCATGCCAACTCTCATTATTATGAAAACACTGGCCCATCTGTCGAGTTAAATCCCACTCCTGACCATCAAACTTTTGACCACGCTCAGCAGTTGGAATATCGCTCACCAGGGCCCTGGTGGCATCCACATACAGGTCCGGAAGCTTATAATGTACAGCAAAACCATTCAAAGGACCCAAGTGAAGCGGCCTTTGAGAATTTCAATATGAATGACAATTCTGCAATGAACTTTGACTTCTCTTCATTCATGGTACCCGCAGTTGGGCCTGGAGCCAGCGATTGGTTCTCTTATGATTTCTACTCCGCAATGAGAGAGACCGGAAATGACTGGGGCTATATGCAAAAAGCTCTTCTAGATCCCGACTTACTTACACAGGTCAAAGACTACCAGCCGAATCACCTTTATACCAACCAAGAAATCAGCCCAGCACAAGTTTCAGGCCAGCGAGGCTCTGACATAGAGCAAGAAGCTCCCCAGCATGACTCTAGTGATGAAGATTTAGCAGAAAATCGAGTTATAACCCGGATATCATCTCCCCCGAATGAGGCATCTGATGATGATAAATGGCCGTTCCTCTGGAATCCCAACTCTCGACGAATCTTGATGGCAAGCCCTATTATCATACCTGATAATCATCCATTATTCAAGTTCCACAGCTCCAGATTCGATATCACTGAACAAACTCTACTCAAAGTACAAGCCTTTCTCACGGCTCCCTCCGGGTTGGGTATTCACCAATCTCAGAAGAGCGTATTCACGCTACCGTCGTTGCCCCTCATCAATGTCTTCATCCGGTTATTCTTTGAACATTTCTCCCCTCAAATGCCCGTGCTCCATCACCCCACCGTTGATACGAATGTTGATCTACCACCACCACTAATAGCTATGATCGTAGTTATCGGGGCGATCTACAGTAACCTGAAGCATTCCAGACGTTTCTCAATCGTGCTGCTAGACATCGTCAGGTGGAACCTTCATATTGCCGTTGAATGCGACAATAGTCTCATGAGAGACAACATGATTATATATGCAGAAGCACTTATATGCCACACTGGGCTCTGGTGTGGAAACAAACGGTGCTTCGAGCTTGCGGAAGTTGTTCGCGGTGCGCTTATTACCTACATCCGCCGATTTCATTTCCATGGCCCGCCCGAGGCACCGCCCTCAGACGCGAGTACTGAAGGAACCCTACAGGCGGACTGGAAGCGATGGATTTTCGAAGAATCCCAGAGGAGGTTATACTGGGTTGTATACTCTATCGACTGCCAATTCCCCTGTCTCTTAAATTTACCTGGAACGATCTCTATTGGAGAAGTCAGTAATTTGCTCTGCCCTGCAGACGACGAGTTTTGGCTAGCGACTTCTGCTCGGGATTGGAAGAATTTGTTAGGTCTCGCTTTGGTTCCACCATCACGATTATTCTCAGCGGCCGTTTCTCCTTTCGTGTTGAAAGCTTCTGCGGGTGGAGCAGACACATTTGGGTTCATCGTCGAACAACTTCGCCGGACGAATCTTGGTCGGGGACAGAACCAGGGCTTACTAGATCTCAATTCTTGGAGTGCATTTTTGGTTCTTATGACCATTCAAACTCAACTGTTCAACTTCCAGCAAGAATCGATGCTAGCTAGGACATTTATGGAAGATGGGGATACGTATGAAACGGAGGATACAATCTCAAATCTAAGGAAGCTACAAAGTATAAGGCGTGGGGAACTTGCAGGTAATTATTTCAAAGCATATTTGGTTCTTTCTCTGATTATATTCAGAACTCCTCTTTTCATGGTCTAAAGCGTATCTCACTCCCCGTCGGTCAAATCTCCACGCATCATCCCGCTACTTCTACGCCTCTTCCCTTGTCATCCACCACCTGAGCAACATCATTCTCGATGTCTCCCTCTCGGATCTCCAAAACGCCCTCGGCAGAACTGGTCCTGAAGGCATCATTCGAGCTATGACTAAACTCACAAACTGGGCCCAGAAGTCTCCTCGCATTGCGGAAGAAGTAGCCTATAATGCCGTCCGGGCAATCGTCTCCCTCGCTCCCAAAAAAGGCACCCACGAAGATGACATCCGGAATACAGATACAGCGCCTTATAGTATCGTCACGCTCTTCCTCAGCCATGTAGTATTGTGGGTGTTTGCGAATGTGTGTCCTAGGGAGCAGAAATCCGTACTTCTGGGCATGGTCGGTGACAATGAGGTCTTAAGGTCCAGTTCTTTCTTCGCGGTGTTGCAACGAGCGATGGCGCTTAGCGATGAATACGGTGTTGCCGGTAAGATGAACAACAAAGATGCACCGAATATACTGTTTAAATTCGGGGCGGAGATGCTGACGAGAGTGGGGACTTGGGGCGCGTCGCTGAACATGGCGCTTATGATACATCAGCGAGCTGAGATGTGAGATGGTTGAAAAGAGATATGAAAATGTTTCTTGTTGAGTAGATAAATATGGTACAGGGTTGCATTCCTCATGGGGTGATGCTAGGTGGGGGGTTTGAGAACTGCAGGGACGCTACGAAAGTCACGATTCGTTCGTAAAAGACGTGAGCTTGATCAATAGCCGCCCTCCTTGAGGTAAGTTGTGAGCACCTACGAATAAAGACTAGCATTTTTCTAATTCTCCCTCTTTATTATTCCTTTCATCTATATTCCATGCGAGCGAGGCTTTGAGGACACAGTCCACTCCATCAGGCACCCGTAGGCGCCAGCTAGTCGCTCTATGAACCTAGAAGGTGCAACTCACCCCATTAAATCACTTTGAAATAGTGGCTGCATCTCCAATCTCGAGTCAATCATTATATCTCCGGGAATAGCTTCATTAAAGATTTCCTAGTGCTAATAATGTGCAACTATGAGATGACTGTTTATGTTTAAAGTCGACGTATGAAAGTGGTCATTTGGCTGTGCCGCACGATTGGTTTCAGCTTTGGAAATAGTTTCCGCTGTACGAAGACTTATTGATGTTCATGGTGTCTTGTATTGGATCGCTCTTACTTTTCTTCACCGCGAGGCGCTCTTATCATCTGGGATTTCTGCATCGTCGATTCCTATTTCGGCAAGAGCTATCTATTCATCCATCGTTGATCCTGTAAACTTCATGCCGACAGTGACTCACTCACCGCATGACTCTTCCGTTGACATATATACATTTGATATGATAGAACTTTCTCATCCAAGTCTATTGAGATACCTTCAAGCTTCTCTCAACTCGACTGGACGTCCAACGCAATCAGCCCCGAGCGCATTCTGCTGTGTCGGGCTGCTACGGGAATCGATGAAATTGACATTTCGGCCTATCCCGAGGATTACTTCTTCAATGCCGTGGATTTGGGAGAGCTAGGAGAGACGCTGTTGAGGCGGATGGCGGGGTTCCAATCACATCTAGGTACATGGCATATCCATATTTCCTCACGAGGAGTCCACTCATTCTCCAGCTAGGCGGCTCAACTGACTTCAAGATTTCTAGCCCTTTTCAACGACTACACTATCCAGCAAGCGCCCGCCTCGACATTCAAAGTCCCTATCGTGTCAGGCGAGATTGCCGTCTTTGCAGTTTCCCAACGGACCCCAACCTACTACGATTTCTGCATCGCCGACGCAAACTGTAACGTTTGTTGCTGGCTTGCCCAAGACACATTTGCTGGTGTAAGCCACAGCGGTGATCTCATCGTCAAGAACGATTTCCTACATTACATCAGGATAGACACTGAAAAACTAACCAAGAAAGAGCTTGCCATTTTCATATCCGGATTTAACAAAACGCAGCTCACGCGCTTTTTAGGGAGCGACCCAGCCGTGCTCATTGCCAACAATGTGGACAAGGTAAGAAATAAAGCATCCCCTTCTATATTTACCTAACTCTTATTGACTACTAAGTACAGGTTCTCTATATCGTTCCAGTTCCCTTGGATGCTGCTACCATCCGAGATGCTACAATCTGCTGTCCTTTGGTGGTCAAGCGGGATGGAAACTCGCTGATCTGCTCGATTCTGCCAACACCCACAACAGACCGTGACACGTTTTGCGAGGCCAACGAACTGAAAAGTCCCTCATTTCCGGAGGCCGTCAAACGCGCCAACTTTACCATGACTACTCCTGTTACTGAATCGTATTTGCAAGGTACGCCATACTATCTCTACAGCAGCCCGACAGACATCGTACTGACGAGGGTCTAGATGTGACACCAGCTACGAGTACAGATCCTAGCAATGCTATTTCTACCTCGAATAATACACCTACTATGCCCAGCAAGCCAAATGCTGTGATTGGTTCCAAGTCGACAATTCTTCCTTCAATCATTGATCAGGACACTACACAGATAATTCAATTTGGAACCGGAATTGAGTTCAAAGACGCAGGTCCATCAGACGCAGGAGATACTAGCACCGTAATTTTACCCTGCATCTTTGGGGCTCAACTTGACGGTCCGGTACTCCTAGCAACGGGAAGAGTTCCAACCAATGTCCCATTCTCAGACGAACTCTCTCTCCGATCTTACTATCAACAGCTCAAGAGCGTTGTGGTGATTGTCGACGATCGAATGACAGACAATGCCAGAAATCTTGCAAGTTCTTATCGAATTAACGCTCTGTTCATCGTTCAAGTCACTCCAAATGAAGCTCCCAAGACCACCGCAGAGATTCTGGCTCTTTTGAATTCCGTCAACATCAACGCCGTGACAGCGCTTGCGGGACCTCAATCCTTGATACTGGTATCAATCTCCGAGAAGTATTACTTCTACAGAGGTATTGCAAATCGAGTACACCTCAATACTGCAACACTAGCCTTTGGATCAGATATCACAGATATTCTGGAGGCTGCCGGAATAGAGTCTATCAATCATCCACAAGTCAAACGAATAGTCAACCTTGATGAGTCCAACACTATCATCTTTCCGTCCACCGGAAAATTAGTCAAGCCTCAAGATCTCAAGAAGCTCTTCACAGCCCTCCCTGCAGATCAAGTTGCTACTATCGAAGAAGACATATCTGCAGCGGTTCAACAACTGCAGGCACTCCTGAATCAGACAGATCTCCAGCAACTCTCCAACGCTTTGAGAACCATTCTCCATAGTAAAATTAGCATTGTGATCGCTCCATTGAGAAAAGCGTACATCAACTTCTTAACCAAGGAATACAAAGCAGAAGATCCAGATTTGTTGAAGAAGAAGAACGATATGCTTGGCAAGCTTAGGAAGGTAACCAAGAGCTTGCAGAAGGCTGTTGAATCAACGATCTCAAGCTTGGCCCAAATGATGTCTTCTCAAACAACTTCCAAGCGAACTCATGACTTGAATAGACTTCAGCGCCAAACCACAATTCAAAGCAATGTTAAGGCGACCAAGAATATGACCTTTGAAAAGCTAGCAGAGATGCTAGAGAACCACGCAGGGGAGATGGGAATGATGATTATCAACATTGAGACAACACCATACCGCCAGCTCTTAGGAACTATAAACGATAGTTCTAAAGCTCTGAATGCTGGGTATGTACTTGTCCAAATTCCTTTGAGCACTTTTGATGTTGAGTTGTTTGAGACATGTTTCTGACGTTCAATTTAGTTCTTGTTGTGACCTGGACTCCCGAATTCTTCACCTGGAAGGACTCGATGCAGGTATTATCATTGAACAGTCTCAGGCTACTCACGACGGCCCCCTGCAGAACCAACAGGGACCCGCCCACCCAATTCTGGCAATGCCATATCCGCATCAAAACAGGGGCCCTTCTGGTTCAATGCTGGCATGGGTTTGTTGGGACGAATTTGTCAATCTCGACAGCCCCTTCGATGTTCGATGGATGGAAAAGTGCAATGATGCCCATGTTGCAGCGCTTCGCATAATGATGAGGGATGCTCTCAGTAACGCTGTGGTATCCAGGGAACATAACTTCCAGGTAGGAAGTCCAGAAATTGGCCAACTTATGAGTGCTTGTTAATGGCTGCAATGTCAAAATTGGCCGCGATGAGAACAACCGCACCTGGAGTCATGTCAAAGGCTGAGGATACCGTCACGAAGCTGATGCGTGGACTATTCGCCAATCTTTTGACCATCGCTGGGTCAGGAGTCCGCTCTCTGAGCATGGTGTGGCAACTCTTGGGCAGATTTCCCCAGTTCGATGTCCCAACCTCGGTGGCAGATTGGAGCTTTTATGAAACTGTCGTCGCTTTATACCCATATACTGGATGGCCGTTGGAACAATTCCATTCCAACCTGGAGAAGCTCCTTGATAAAGTAGTTGTCCGAGTCGTTACCAAAAACGAGAAAACCAATGAGATCAAGGCCAACTTGGCATATGATCTAGAAAAATACTGCAACCTTCGAAATATTCAGCTTGAACACTCGCGCACAATTCTCACCATATTCTTGAAACTTCTTACAAACAAGGATATGGACCGCAAGGTAGTCGCACAACGTCTGCTGAAGAACATTCCCCACAGGCTGCAAAGGCAAACCGAGAGTTACACAAGAATGATCAAATATCTTGAAAATCTTGCAAACGGTGGCGACCGACAACCTCAAGATGATCTTGTTGTTGCTAGTGTTTTTACAAAGCGTTCTGCGACTTTCAGGAAGATCAAGAAGCAAATTGCATCAGCCTGCAAAGAACAAGACGAGGCCAAGATCAAGACGGCGTGCCAAGAGCTTCTTGATGAACATGCGAAAATTGCTCAACTCTGGTGTGTAGTGCCAGAGAGGCTCAAGGTCCAAAATATGAAGGCGTACCAGGGTCTTTTGACGACAAAGTACGGAGACGATATTGATACAGCCACGAAGGTATACAACAAGAAGATATTCAGCCAGGCAATCGGCGATGTAGAGCAATCGCGTATCCCTTGGCAAGTTGGCAAGTCAGGCGAATTTGGGAATGATATCGAACCTTTAGATGAGGCTTTTGTTCATGAAATTCTGACTGGCAAGAGCTTGGACGTCGTTACTACCTCTGACAAAATGGAAGATGCCACGGTGACAGGTGTGGCCAAGAAGGAGGAGCAAACACTGGCACATTCCTCATCCGTGTTGTCGCCGACATTCATCAATCAAGTTGAGAAGGTGGTGTCTCCTGAAGACGTCTGCAATATTATAGGCGTCCCTGTCAGTGCAATGCGCGTCTTTGCAAAGGCTCTCAATCCGGATCTTGTCTGGGAAGAGTTGGGTCGGAACTTTAAAGATGTCATTTTGTCGCTGGTGAAAGCGCGTTCCAATCGACTACAAAGCCGTCCTGCCGGACGGTTGCTGGGTATGAGTAGCCCAGCTTCGACGATTCTGGTGGTGGAAAAGTTGCCAATTGCAGAATGAGAAGCAGGGTCAGTGATATCCTGTACGAGGGCGAATAAGTTGTGTCTTGGAAAGTAGCAGGAGTTCAGGAGTTTAGCAAGTGGGAAAAAACTGTATTTACTATTATCAAAAGAGCAGAACAATACTCACATTCCTATAAATGGCCTATGGAGATCCCTAATCCCGGAATATGATGGTCTAATCCAAAGCCTTCTTATCCAACCAAGCCGTGAACATCTTTAATGCTTCAACTGGCTTATCCCAAGGCACCATATGACCAGCACCATTGATCCTCGCATACCTAAGCGGCCCACTCTCCCACCATAATCCACCACTCCATGTCTGTTTGTTATTCTCCTGCTGATACCTAAAATCAGGTAGACCCTTCCACTCCAACGATCCAAAAACCCGTTCATTCCCCACAAAGTTACATATCCAGTCATATGTCCCAACATATATCATCACTCGAACGTCAGAGTGCAGCAAGTCCGCCACATATGATCTTGTATCAATCAAGAAATCATTTACCTTCTGAAACTCCCTTCCAACCTTATCACTACACTCCACAAACTTGGGCGCTTTCTCATCAACCCCAAACGCAGTCCTCACTGCATCAGTGCGCAAGAATTTCGTGATGGCTAGCATGATCGGGTAGCACAAGTACCCATCACATGGTGTACTTATATCGTAGTAATTACGCCCAGTGCGCACATATGGCATCTCCAGCTCCTCGCCACAGAAATCAGTACTAGCTCCGCAGATCAGGGGGTCCGGATACGCGTGACATGCTTCCATTAATAACTCGCACCTCGGAACTGCAGCAGCCATCTTCTCGCACATGCCATCGTCAAGCAGGGGGCCGATGCCCGTGACATTTGTGCAGGGGATGTCGTAGTATGAACTTGCTTGCTTGACGTCGCTGAATATGCCGTTGCCAATCAAGACTGATTCCAGTGGGATTTGGTCTTCAGGTGGGGAAATGGAATTCATGGCTTTGATATTGGATGCGAAAACGGGGATATAGTGACCGCCGTAACTCTCGCCCGCTATACTGAATGGCAAAGATTTCGATTCGGGGAAAGCTTGGTACCAGAGGCGCATGAAGGCGTAGATGTCCTCGCTCGCGGCGAATGTGCCGCCGTGCACGTCGGACGTGTTGGTGCTATAGGAGAAGCCGACACCGATAGGTTGATCGAGGAAGAAGACGCTGGCGGCATTGGTCCACGAGTTTGGGTTTTCGCGCGCCGAGTCTCCGGAGTCGTTAACAGTGCAGGGACCGAGTTCCATGAAGAGGCCCGACATGGAGGAGCAGCCAGGCCCGCCGTTCAGCCATAATACGAGCGGGTCGTCCTTGGGGCTGGCGCGGGATTCGAAGTAGGCAAAGTAGAAGTGTTTTGAGCCCGAGTTTAGGTAGCCTGTGTAGCCGGATGTTGCGCCGGGGCAGAGGTCTGAGAGGGAGGGGGTCTTGCTGTTGGAGCTGGAGGAGATGGCATTGTGGGGTTTGATGGTGAGGCTGTGGTCTGGATGAGAGACGTGGGTGAGGGTTCGGACTGAGGGGTCTGATGAATCGCGGAGGGGCTCTTCTGTGAGGGGGATCTGGAATGCTGATCTGCCTACTGCGGCAAGAGAGGCCACGATTATTGGCCAGATTGGATTACCCATCTTGTATGTAGAATATGATATATATATCTATACAGTATATGAGATGGGAAGTGAAGTTGTATCTGAGATAAGATAAGTGAGTCTGAAACAGGCCGCGCCGCACTAGGCAAGCTGACACGGCAACAATACGCTGTCAGGTGACCTGTGTTTAGAACAAGTAAACTTTACAAAACGAGCAAAAGAATGAGAAAGAGTAGCTTAAATGTGTGAAAGGTTGGATTGTATTATCAATGTGGTCATGTCTTTATGTGAAAAAATTGCATTTATCCCGAGAGCGCGAGGATACGGAGTAAGGTACTGTAGCTATTAACCCTAGTATTTTAGGGTTTAATATACTAAAAGCAGCGCTCATAATAGAAAGGGGGTACTGTATCGATTCGAGTACCCAGATATAAGACTTATGAGTGATTACTACAAACAAGAATTCATTACGAAAAACTAGAATGGAACATCTGCAAGAGCAAGCTCTATTATTTGAAAGACGTTTGTGCCAAACCTGGCGTGCTATGAATGGTATGAATGCTACGAATGCTACAAACATTCCTTTTCCGTTATAATAACCTTAATATTTTTCAACCCAATAATTCCTAAGCCACCAGCGTATACATGTATTTCCTCCCATCCAACCAAGTCACGATAAAATCAGCAAGTATCAGAGACAATCGAGTCGGCGCTGAAATTTCTGAATGTCCTGGTCCCTTAATGAAACAATCCATTATTCCTTGTCTAGACCTGCCCACCAGTTACACCTGTCACGCTCTCTCCAGCAGGGAAGGTAGCCTCGTACTCCAACACAAGCTTCACACCCTGTCCCGGATTCAGATGGACGTTCCATGTCACTTCTCCGCCTTTCTTCGCCGTAGCGACAGCGCTTCCCCACTTTCCGTTATTCGCAATCTCTTTTCCATCAGAGCCATACACGCTAGCTCGAACATCTTTTGCATTGCCTTTGCCACTAGTTGGAGATGGGAGAACCGCAAAGGCACTGGTGCCGGCTCGGACGCCTTCACCTCCAGCCTTCAAGCCACGGGGATTCGTGATCTCGATGCGGAGGCGCTCGTCTTCGGAGACAGGGACTTGATCCAGGACAGTAAGCTCGCATGGGGCGTTGTGCTTGGTGTTGGTAATGACGACGGTTCGAGTGAAGACGTTGCTGTCTTCCTTATTGAAGATGCCGCTCTGAGAACGGCGAACTGTCGGCTTGGAGTAATTGATATTGATAGCTGGATCGACTCCCAACGGAAGAGAGAACGATTCTCCGGCTGAGCATCTTGGGAATGTTGCTTGTCCCAAAAATGATCCATCGAGGGTTAAGCCAAGAGGACCTTTGAGTAGGGTGATCTTAGAGGTATTGCGGAGACGAGCTTTGAGGAAAGCGACTTGGCGGAGCTTTCCAATGACGATGTGAGAGAATATAACGTTCCGGAAGTCGATCTTGGCAATCTTGTGCTTGATGGTGGAGTGGCTTGGAGTCAGGGTCTTGAGACCAGGGACGTCGTAGGTGGTAGTCATTCCGGATTCCTGCCAAGCACCAGCTTCAAACTCAAGGGGGTTAAAAGATGGCCCATCAAAAAGAGCGAAGCCCATGTCCTCGTCTGAATCATCCTCTTCCTTTTCTTCCTGTTCAGCAACAGCGTGACTGCTGCCGAATAAGGCTGACTTATTTGCCCCCCCACCAAAAGCACTTGAACTCGCTCCCACATTCGCATTCCCAAAGAGCCCACCTGTATGAACTGCTTGTGCCCCAAAAGCTTGGGGTACAGGTTTTGAGTGTCTGCTTACCACTTTTTGAACTTCCCTTGATAGTTTCGCCTGCTTTTGGGCGGCCATTCTGGCTTGTTGCGCCGCAAAGGTATTATGGGCGTTGTTGTCGCGGCCGAAAATGTCCGACCGCTGCTTTTGGCTCGGGTCAGTTGTGGTACTCCATTCCCGTCTTTTGGCCGCTACTTCGTTTTGGCTCATTAGTGAAGCATCGGTGTTGCCATTGACAACCTTGGTTAGTCGGACATGCCATGGCTGCATAATGGGGATGGTTTCACTCAGGCCAGAGAAGGTAGTCTGAGATGTCGAGAGAACAACCTATGAGCAGGTTAGCATGATTTTGTAAGAGTAGAGGCTTCCCTTGGACAGCGGAAATGAATAACTTCAAAAGTGCGCAATACTGAGTGCTTTCTATAATGGGGTTGAGGGTCAGCTTACGTTTGCATCGCGCCAAGTCTCCGACGTGGTATTTTTCAGCCCTGCCCCGTATTCCAATAGTCCAGCACCCTTCATCGTACTCAAATTAAGGTCATATCTGGGTGACCAAGAAGCTGAATATGTGATGTATGATAGAGATAGGCTGATCTCGCCAGACTTCACCCGTTCAGCAGATGGTTCGTGAAAAGTGGTCGTGGCAAGATTAACCAGAGTATCGCCATCATTCACAGAGCTTCGACGAGACGATCCTGGTGTTGAAGTTGAAGGTTCAAGGTTGATAGTAATCTTGTACACCTTCTTTGGCCAAAAGGATTCGCGCTCAGTCTTGACTCTCTGCTTCTCATTGTAAATCTCGGCCTTCTTACGCAAAATCTTCTCTTTCCGCTTCGCTGCCTCCTTTTCCTTCTTCTCATTGGCCTTTACCAAGTCCTTGGCCAATTTCGTCTTTTCCTTCTCTGTCTTACGAATTTCCTCGCGGATGTTCTCGCAAGAATTGGTACTAGACTCGTGCTCCCCGTAAATCTTCACGCGCTCCTCGTTGTAAGCTTTCAGAAGCTTCTCGAGGTCGTTTGGAGGTGGCCGATCAGTCGTCACACTTCTGCCGAAATTATCACAGATTGAAAGACGGCTGGCAGCTGAATTGATGTTCTCTTGTTCGCTGAGAAGGTCGGTATTCAATTTCTTGATCTTATCAGCGACGGCTTTCATGGCATCGTGCTCGACCTCAGATTCATCCTCGTCCTCATCATCTTCCTCCTCGGAATCAGAGGGATAGATATCCTCGTAAACCTCTCGATTTGGAAGAAGGTCGACTGCGACATCAGTGATTGTAGCGGCTCCAGTTCCCTCAATTTTGATGGAGTGTTCATCGACGGTTGGAGCTAGCCCATCAATCACAATCTGATTTGCACCTGGTTGTAGAGTGATTTCTTTGATATCACGAATAATCTGGGCTCGTGTAGGGAACAGGAGAACGCTTCGGGTGGTCAAGTCCCGAATGCGAAACTCTTGTTTGTGGATTTCGTCGTGCGCCATGATGATCGATTGCTTCTTCGGGGCTGTACGTACTACAAATCAGGTGATTTGAACTAGGTGAGCGCGATTTCTTCGCAGATGTGATGAAGGATGAGTTTAGGTGATTGTAAAAGAAACGATGAAGTAGAAGAGAAAAGGATAAGATGGTGAGGATGAAAGCTCTTTTATAAAGATATCACAACATCACACAGGCCAAGGCAGACTGCACTTGCAGGTGCTGCAGCGAATCATCGCCGGAATGTACATACGGCAGGTAACTTAGCACAAACGGAGAACCAGGCAGACATAAGACTCCGAGTCACGACGAATACCGGCTCTGTTGATTGGGTGCAGTCACGACGATTACCAACTCTTTTAATTGCGTGCAGCACAGCTCAAAGAAAGATTTCCATATGTTTCAAGGATAAGGCACAGAATCCTATTTTAAGCGCTGTTTGCTGAGTCATCCATTGTAACTTCACCTCGTGCATCTACATCTCTCTGTCGCATTTTGATTCAACATCAACCATACTCCATGACCAAAATTGCCGATAACTTCTTATACATGAGGAATCTGCTAAACATCCGTATCCCAGCATTACAGCTGGACGAAGTTGCCGTCAAAGTGCTGTCCTTCCTTTCCTTCAATCCATCTCTTCTCTCCCAGTCGAAGACTCAATGCGTCTGTAAGTTGGCACGCTATAGAGATGCGCCTTTCTTCTCACCCTTCCCACCAAACATTCCCAAGTGTGTATGAGTGAAACCGCTCCCATACTTCAACCCATAGCCCAGCATACGATCCATGCCGATGTGCGCGAGCCAGCACAGAGCCAGTCCGGCAGCTGCCTTATTATCGCGTGCCAATGCAGCGCATAATAAAAGTATAGGAGGCGTTTCCGTGTGAACTGAATTGTAGATGACAGCACCTATCGAGGTATTGGCTAGGTATCCTGCCATACCTAGATCTGGAAGGAGGAGAAGGCCGGCAAATGTCCACCACGACTGATCGAATTGCGAATATGCCCAGATTGTTGAACCGAATATGCAGGCACCTTCTATTTGCAGAAGTACCTTTGGCCAACTCTTTACGAAGCCGTCTTTCATTGCGAAGTCTTCCTGTCGGGGTAGAATCAATACCGAAGATGTAGGAATATTAATGAGGCTTGGCAGGTTGGTGAGCTGCCTTAATCGATTTTGACTTAGACGGAAGATGATGATGTTTTGCAATATGATCAGTTGAGCACGACTAAGTCAAAGTTGGAAGATAAATAATATCTGGAACCAGATAGGTAATGGAGGCAGGGCGTTATATCATATGTGATGATACATGAAACGGCGAACGCGAATGTAACTCGAGTGATCTGAGATTATAAGTGAGATGATGTTAATAATGGTGCTTGAGCTTGCTGATATATATATATATACATATAGAGTATATGGTTCTCGCGGTTCGGTGTCTTAGTCCATGGAGGCCACCGAGGCACGTGACTAAGGCGAGGAAACAGCGAGGAAAACGCGAGACAGATATTTCTTGCACAGATATTTTAGTGCTATTGACCTCGACCACTTAGAATATAAATCATTCTTCCCCTGATAAATTTAATAAGTGTAAAAAGATCAAGGCTTTAGAAGTTCGAGTCGTGAAGGAAGTGGCATATAATTCCATCACTGTCTACCAAGTTTTCAAAGCTACTTCTCCCAATTTTGACTTAACACTAGAAGAAGAATAATTGCTTCCTGTAAAATATTATCATATAGATAAGAAACCTCTTCCAAAGGACTGGTCCTTTGTTTCATAAGTACATGGAGATGCCTGCGGTCTTTCACACTAATAAATCCACCTATTTGTCAAGTTTTAAGGCTTAGCCATCCTTAATACCGAGCGTATGGTAGCGAGTCGTCTTAGAAAATGCATCCTGCTCCCTTACCAACTAAAAATATCCATTCTTCGTAAACTTCCTCGCATTGCCTAAAACTGAATTGGTCGTGGTAACAAGTGAGAGTTTTTAGTACAACAAGGACGCGAAGGAAGAACTAGCCGGCTGACAACTACTAAATTGGCTTTTAAGTAAGATTATAAACGAACTTAATTTTAATTCCTTTCCCTATTATAGAAATAGTATATTTTCCATGCTACTTCTATTAATACCATCATTCTGCGATTTGCAACAAAGAATGAGAGAAGGTGTATTTAGCGACTGTTTACGGCGTATTGCATTCAACGGGCTCTCGCGGTCACTCACAGCTTATTGGTAAGATCTACTACAACCGATTAATTTTCATAATTCTATGCTTATCGCAGATGCGATATGTAATAAAGATTCAGCAGAATATATACTCACCTGTTTAAGTATCTCCAAGCTACGAAAAGTCGCCAGTGAGAAAACGACTCGATCTTTATGCCTAAAGACGACCCAAATTTACATCTTAAAGTGACGAGGTACAGTGGACCGAATTGAGGTAGTATTTGCTACTTAAATTACATTCTATTACTATAGGTACAACTGTAGCACTTGATATCCTCAATTTCCTAGACTTGAACTTGGACTCGACAGGGCATATCACTGAAGATAAAATCCACTCCATATCTATATATCTAAGTCCTCGCTGAACTCTAACGATAGACACGAGCTGTGAAAGAACACATCGCCGCTCACTAGCATTTATATGCAAGTCAGCATGTCTTCTATCAAGTTCCATGGCAGACTTAAATCTAATATTAGAAGCGTATACGAAATGCATCAGAAACCCCTTGAACCTCCGCATTTCCTAACTCGCATAGTTCTCCGTCGCAGCACATACGAAGTTGTGACTCGCATTGGTCTCTTCTCCAATAGCCATTCCTTCGGGATCGCCTAGCCTACGCCCCACTTAGGGAACTGGGAGGAATGTAATGATGGGAAATTCTATTATTAAACCAGGTGCGAAGTGCAACAGGAATAAGATATCTTATCTTAAGATAGAAACGCAATTGATTTTGAACAAGTGTTCTGTCGGGATGTATTCGCGACTAAGCGATGCAGAGGCATAACCTGTCCTGTCCTGTCCTGTCCTTTTCGCCTTGTCATCCACTCTAGACATCACAACATCACAATACAAACCCACCAAAACCAGAGTCAAGCCTTACCAAATGCATACTAGCTAGTAAGAAATTGATCACCCCTGTGATACCAACATGTTCTCTCACCTCGAGTTGTGATTAAAGTAGCGATTAAAAAACACTTACACGTGATCCATATATGTATAATCTATTATCATACTTAAGATGTGTCGGAATCCTATCACTCTATTTATACGGAGTTTAAATTGAGACCTTGAGTTATCTTCTAAATATACTTTACTCTTAATAGAATGCATAGTCTATTTACAACTTCTGAAGGAGACATGACACGTGATTTACCACTACCGTACAGTACACCTCAAGCCTGCTTATTTCAAATGCCAACCCTTCCTTCCTTCGTTCCCTCCCTTCAAACCATTTCATCTTCGAATTAACCAAACACGCCCTCAATCTTTCATACACGCAAAGAACGAAAGTACCAGTGACATCGATCGTGGAGCTCAGTTCTCATCAAGTATCACGGTATACGTTATAACTTATAACGTCCGATTCGATTCACGAATTTGCTGTGGTGGCTATGTACAGCTGGAAAGAGTAGCAAGAAGTGAAAACGCAGCAGTGGACAGGTCTAGCAGAGCAGAGTAGATAGATAGATAACCGGGAAAAGCACAATGGTCTAGCTGCTATTATTCTCTTCTCTTCTGTTCTTTCGCAATAGACTAAGGATAGATAGCGGAGGTGGAAGATTGAACTTCTTCTTTCTGTGATATGTTTAGCAGAGATTATCTGATCTAGGCAGATATGAAGCTTGAAGGTACCCCGAGTATAAGGCTGGATGTATGGATGTTTAGGGGTTGTTTAGCAAGTTTGGAGAATCGTTCTTTTATAGAAACTTCACCGCTGTTGATGACGAGATTCACGAGCATTGGATTACATGGGATGCTGCAATTAAACGCCTTGAAGATTCCCAAGGAACCCATCATCGCTTACGATTTCTCATTACTGGTAATCAATACATGCTTGGTAACTTCGCTGAGGCATAGCCATAAACAATATTCCTCCGCAACCAAACAATCCAAGCATAGGCTCACCCCATAAACAGTATCCCAACACTTACGCGCTATTCAAAATCTCCAACACACACCCAACCAACCGCAATCCAAAACCTCAGCGTCGGGCAAGAATAATTCTCTTCGCCTTGCTCCTGGCCCACGTCACGAACTTCCACCACGGCATCTGGGTGTTCCTCTCCGGTGGAGGAGGCCGCGTGTACTAGGTACCTCGTCAGTTCCACCCAAACCTCACAAGACATCAGGACCGGACTAAACTTACAGCTTCGACCTTGAGATCAAGGATCCTAGAAGCCGTCACCCGCAGCTGTTCTTTCGCCTCCGTTGCCCTTACACCGCGCCCAACGAACACTTTATTGAAGATCCGCGCTGCTTTCTCGGCATGTGCGATGGAGCCGAATAAGTTGTCGCTGCAGTGTGAGAGGAGAAGGTATGCTTCGGCTTTGCACCAGCGATGGTGTTCCTCGTGGGATAGGAAGGCGTTGCAGGCGGAAATACATTCTTCTTTGGTGAGATTGCCGTCTTTGTAACCCTGTACGACTATCTGGAATTGGGTTGCGGCGTGGCAGTGATGCAAAGTGGGAGTGGTGGTGCCGGTGGAGGTGGAGGTGGAGGTGGAGGTGGAGGACGGGGAGACGGACATTGTGCGAGTGGTTGTGATGATTGTCAGTGTTGGAGATGAAAGAATGTTGTCTTGTTGATATTTGTGATAAGTGATATTTGAATCAAGTGGGGTTGACGGAAAATGAATCGATGTTGATGTTGAAAGAAGACGGAAGATTGTAGGATTGCATGCTCTTAAAAACTAACAAGAAGCAGTCTTGAGTTGAGGCAGGCGCAACTGGAGGTGGGTGCACTGGTAGCTGCAAATACGAATGAGAAAGGCACACATCTCGTGGTCCGGTATGTTGTCTCTTCGCACCTTCCTTGCTCAAGGCCAGTAACTATGGAAGGCATATGCGAGTGATATTCAAGCAATAGGAAATTTGGGGCGAGCATAACGACTTGTCTATACGGATACGCCGTGATGTGTGATAATCCATAAGAACAAAGAATGGGTAAACCGCTTATGGACGTCCCATCCCCAGACAAACCACCGAAGTAATACGATCAGTAAAGAGGCTGCACCAGCAATCCCTCATCAATTTCACCCCTCAGTGCAAAGACCGCCTGACCCCGTTCCGGTCCCTCAATATTCTCCCGTTCCTGCCTCTGCTCAGAATCCTCAGTATAAAACCCATACTCATCGACCTCCCTCTCCTCCACACGCCGCAAGATCCCCTCCACAATCTCCAGCACGTCAGCAGCACCCATGAACCCCTCGGCTTCCAACTGCTTCCATATCTTGACTGCCCTCAATGCATATGCGAAAGCAATATAAGCATGCGGTGTGGTGGGGGGTGCATTCGCCAAGAGCGCATATGCTAAGCCCTTCGTAATGGGATGGATGTCAGGCTTGCGGATCAATTCGCGGCAGGTGTGATAGTCGAGGCATTCTAGATGTTCGTCGCCGGGCTCATCTGGCGAGAAAGGGAAGTAGCAGGCTCTGATCTGATTCTTGTAGAGGTTTTTGTTTGTGGATGGCGGAGGCGTTGATGCTGGCGTTAGGGGTGACTGAGGCGTTTCATCCGCTTGGCTTTCGGGAGATGAGCTGATGTTTACTCTTTGAAACATGTTTGTCATGGAAGTAAAGCTAAAGAAACTGTAGAATCTGTTGGTTGCCATGGGTATTGTGTATTGTGGATGAGGATGTTGTATGTAGAAACAAAGCTGAAGGGGCCAGGAGGAGGGTTTATGAGTGCTCCAGGAGCATTGCTCCTTCCGCCCCAACAGTGTTCAACCTATAGTTGCATCTTCTGGCAGGTGGGAGTCTATGTGCAAATGTCAGCGACAGGAGTCACAAGCTTCCGGAGAAGCAGACTGGGGATTCTTCCCTTATTCGTCTATGTTTCCCTTCCTGTTTGACATTGTCGGGTAAAACCAAGAGTTAACAACTTAGCTGAACCCTTCTAATGATTTTCTCACAAAAGAACCCCCTTTGCATAACCCGCCACGACTGATGGTGCGGCATTTCTATCAAGTGAGGGTTTGATGCTGCTTCATGAGGAGTGTGCTGATTTAGGGTTGGTTGCAAGAACGGGGGCCAAGAAGTCTCTTGCGCTGTTATGCCACCAGCGCGATCAAGCCAATTATCGATGTCACGACAACCTATAATCCATCCATATAGTAATGGAAGGCAACGACGGTCAAAACTTTACGATGCACCAGGTCGTGAAACGCACCAGCATGCCCCACATCCCACGTGATGGACTCATAAAGACTGCGAGTCCGTACAGAACCCGATGAGGAAGGCCAGGAAAGAAGTAGGAGAAACAAGGAATCAATACAGGCGATTTACACAATAGCAGCAGAGAAAGAATTCACTCGAAAGAGTCTATTACTGATCTATCTTCTATTCTTGCAGAAAACGTTTCATCCATAGACATAATATAAAATTCGCAATGTTAACTCCAGACGAGGCCAGGCCAGGCCCAATGCAATCATGATCGTAACCCAGGCCCAAGCCAAAAAAAAGCACTCTTTTCTCTTCTTTTTGTATTCTTTCCATTCTATCCCACCCACAACGGCATATCTAATCGTCTTCATCAGAGAAAACTAGAAGAGAATGTTAGCTTCTTGTTTATAAGTCTTGAGTGGAGGTGGATGTTGCTTACCTTCCTCACCACGCTTGCGACGGGCCATACGATCCTTCTTCTTCTTCCGGAGCTCGGCGGATGTAAGCTTCTTGGCCTTCTTCGTCGAGACAATCTTGTTGCCCATGGCGTCGAATTTTTCTTCCTCATCTTCGTCTCCCTTTAGACGGGGACCAACACCTTGTCCTTGCACCCAGTTGTGGCCTGATGGTGTCATCTTTCCGTCCCTATTAAAATGTTAGCATTAAAGAGCGGCAAACTAGATATTGCAGGGTCCTTACATTACTGCCCAAACTTCCTCAGTCAAATTCTTGGTGAATTCAGCAGAGTGAGTAATGATAATAACACCACCCTCGAACGACTTAAGAGCCTTCGACAGAGCACCGAGAGAATCACGATCAAGATAGTTGGTAGGCTCATCAAGAACGATCAAATGAGGTCTTTGCCACGAGCAAGCAGCAAGGACGACCTTGACACGCTGACCACCAGAAAGACCCAACATACGGGAGTGAGAAACCAACTCAGCATCGAGACCAAAGTTGGCGCAGTGGGACTCAATCTCCTTTCGGACCAAAGGACGGAATTGACCACTGGCCAGGGCCTCCTTTTGATCAACATCAGCAACCATCTTTTGATGGGATGCCAAAATCTCAGTTCGGGGAATCCAGGCGTTGTCTGCAGTCATCATGGGAACCCATCGCTCGTTCTTCAGGCCAACGTTCTCTCCGAGAGCGAACGAACACTCGTACTCGTAAGAGTTCTTGAACTTACGGCGAGAGTGGATGCCAATGACACGGCGTTGCGAACCCTCGATCTTGTAAATCTTGTCCATGGCCTTCTCATCCTCATCGGTGACAATCTTGTTGGCACGATCCATAGTCTCACGATCCTCACCAGTCTGGAAACGCCATTGGATGTACTCGGAAGGAGTCTTCTCCAAGTGGTGATCGATATGGGCGAAAGCGTGTTGCTTGATGTAGGCGATACGGATGTTCTCGTGGGTGTAAACATCACCGATGGTGGGGATGAGTTCACCGGTCAAGACGTTGATGAGGGTAGATTTACCAGCACCGTTGGGGCCAATGACGGCAATACGGGAACCGAGAGAGCACTGGAAGGAAATGTCTTGGATTTGTGGCTTGGGGGTACCTGGGTATTGGAAGGTCATCTTGCTGACACGAACAATGGCCTTGGCCTTTGTCTTGACACCCTCCAAGAAACCTGGCTCGGGGAACTTGAATTCAATCTCGGAGTCACCAAGCTCGTAGTATGAGCTGGCAGATGGGCACTTCTTGACGAATTCTCTCAAGTTACCACGGTATCTCTTGAGCTTGTATCTCTCGTAGTGGATGATGTGTTGACAGACGTGGTCAAGGAAACCACTGTCGTGGGAGACGATGATGGACGTGCAAGGAGAGTTCATGAGGTAATCTTCGAGCCACTTGACGTTCTTGACATCCAAATGGTTGGTAGGCTCATCGAGGAGAAGAATATCTGGTTCCTCGAAAACAGCACGGGCAAGAGCCAGCTTCATCTTCCATCCACCAGAAAGGGCGGTAATCAGGTTGGCGGTCATCTCAGGGGTGAAACCGAACTCGGCCAATTGCTTCTCGACATCGGCTTGGGAAGTCTTGACACCGACCTCAGCAAGCTTCTTCATGGTCCACGCAATAGTGGTCTGCTCAGTATCTGCAGAGTCGAGATCGTGCTCCACGAACACAGTCTTGACTTCGCTCTTCTTGGGGAAACCCTCGACCTGCTCGTTGTTGATGGCACGCATGAGAGTAGACTTTCCAGATCCGTTGGGACCGCAAAGACCATATCGCTGGCCACGCTTAAGACGGAGATGTGTTTGGTTGAGGAGAATCTTAGCACCGTAGGCCAAGTTGAACGTGCAGTTGCAAAGATCCTCACCCTCCTCATCATCAGCCTCACCAGCATCTTCCTCATCAGCGAGCGGGGATGCCTTCTTTCGGAGGGCGTCGACAACGCTCTGCGACTCGGATTCTCCAATGATAGCAGCGATATAAGGCTTGATGTTTTGGGTCCAGCTGATGGAATCAGCATCCTTCTCATCAATAAGTTGACCAGCAATGGCAGATGCGTATTCGACAACTGGCTCAAATTTGGTAGCGGCATCCTTGTGCTTGGTGCCTCCGATAATTTCCTTAAGGATGGCACTGACAGTGGCAGTGTCACCAGCATGGGAAGCCTCGGGAATCTTGTCATTAGGACCGACAGCACCAACACGGCGAAGGGTATCAAGACCTTGCTTGGTCTTCTCACGAGCCTCGGGATCAGCCAAGTTCTCGTAGTTCTTGATCAGACCAGGCATCAATTTTGGCAAGAAAGATGCAACAATATTGGGGTCCTCGACCAACTTGCACATGTTGTCGACAATAACGGCAGCCTTTCGCTTGATGGCAGTCTCACGCTCAGCAAGACCACGATCCAGAAGAGGAACCATAATGGCAAGGGTTGGCTCGTGGACATCGGTAACGAAAGTAGTGGCACCGAGTAAGTGAACAGTCTCCGGGACGTTCTCTGGCTTGGCAATACACTTGATGAGTTCGGGAATGAAACGGTCGATATCCTTGTTGACAATCAAACCACAGACCTTCTCCATTGTACCGTACGCCATTTTCTTGACCTCGGGCTTTGTGTCCCACATGGCCTCGGAAACGATAGGAATGAGTTCAGGGACACGGAAGGCGAGTTGTGCGGGCGAAGACTTGATCAATTCCTCGATGCAGGTCAGATCACAGATCTTTTCTTGCCACTTTTGTGCGTTTCGGATCGAGTCGATGATTGGGGGAAGAACAGCCTTGACGGCGTTGGCGTTGACAGCCTTGACGATGCTCACAGCGGCGGCTTGAGCAGCATTTCGGACGGGCACGATCTTGTCACCAACGGCTGAGAGAACCGAAGGCAGGAGAACGACGAGGTATGGCTCGACGGAGGGAGAGGTATCCTGGTGGTCGGCAATGGCCTGGATGGCGTTGAGAGCGCGCTCTCTAACGGTGGCATCCTTCTTGTTGCCCAGTTGCTTCTTCAGGGCATTGACGGTCCTGTGAAATAAATTGTTAGCATACTGAATTTTCCATAATTGTCGCTGCAGTTAATTTATTGCGACCGGTGGGCTGGTTTGCCACAAAACATAAGGGCGCCTGAGGGCAAAAGCCTCTATTTGGTGACACTTGGGGATATAAGAAGGTCGGATAGAATCTTTTGTATACTCACTTGGTAGGAGCATCGTGCTCTTCAATGGGACCATTAATGAAAGTTGCGAGGTTGAGGGTCGCAGCGTTCACATCCTCCTGGGCCTTGCTGAGGTTCAGCTTGGCCATCAGCTCGTCAAGGATCTTGACGGAGTTCTTATTTTCGTTTGCCATATTTGCGGATGCTGGCTGTGAGGATTCTGCGACAGTACCGGGCATTTCGTAGAAGAAGGAGAGGGAGAAGGAGGGGGGATTCTGTTATGTGTGCGATAAGAAGAAATTTCTCGCGCTAAAGTAAGCACGGATCGGTGAGATTGATGGGGACTGGACTGGACTGGACTGGTGCAGCCGAATCGTCCTCGGACTTGTCGCCCGCTCTATTTCGGTACTATTATTCGTAAAAGAACGACAGAATGGTATGGATTTCGTGTGTAAGAAGAGACGACGATGGGTACACAAGGAGGAGAGTTTGGTGTTTTAAATATTTTTCCCAATTCACGTCGAGTGGCCACTTTTTCTGCAGGGATCTATCTAATCAGTCTAACTGGGAAGGCGATTTTACAGTACTGTACGTACGGTGAAAGGAAAAGGATTGCAGTACCAGTCGAAGGCATTAATTAGTCAGCAGCATTCGAAGGCACGGTCAACAACACTCCTAATACCAACTGAAAGGATCGAACAGCTGGTCTACGTATCAGCAAGTGCCCACCTTATTTCATTTATGAGTGTTGGGATATTAGGACCGCATCGAGAACCGCATCACGACCTTTATAGTCATGTGACTTAGAGTAGCTTAGTCAGCACAGAGGCATAACCTCGTGTCTACACCACACCACCATGAATGCTAAGCAACATCAACCAGTATCAAGTCTACTACGTAGTATAGAGAAGTGATCACGGATATCAAACCTGTGATACCAACAAATGGGGTCATTCGAATTTTATAACGGCACTATTGTGGTGGGGACCAAACGGGCTGTCACGTGAAGTGGGGTATGCAGCTAGCACTACACCGTACCTTATAAAATCGGACACTTCGATAAACTTGGATCATCATCTATTCTACAACAAACTCTTTTATACAGATTATTTAATATATATATCTATACAACAATAAAACTATAAGTCAGATCCTAGCCTAGAGTCCGCGGTTGTGTTGTCCCTCCACACTATCATACTAACAAACCGACCACCGCCTTGCTCTATTATTATATTAAAAAATAATAGTGCCCTGAGAATGATATTGAGAAATGAAACATACACTTCTATAGAGCCTTTTATCATAGATATGCTTACATTCCATGACGACTTCTTTCTTAGCAATCCACGTGTTGTCTTAAGTATAGGAGACTATCTTGGATGGATGGCTTCCTAAGCATTACTTAGAACAATTTCGCATCCCTATATTCAGCGCTAAACCCGCAATGGGCCGTTCTGTCTTCAGTTCACTGATTTCTATGCAAGTAACATTTTCGTTGATAAAGACGGGAACATCAGATATCTTATCGACTATGAGTGGGTTTATGCGCTACCTACTGGGATACTTTCCATTCCGTATTAGCTTACGGGATGCGCTATTGATGGAATAACAAACAAGAAGTTTGATGAGTTCAAGATAGTTCATCAGGAGTTTATGAATATACTTGAGGAGGAGGAAGTCAAGATTACGGCAACGAATTTGCCTGCAATAACACTAATTATACATGATAGCTGGACAACTAGTGCAGTATGGTTCTGGCATTGTATTACGTCCGTAAATGCCACATGATCTCTAGTTGCTACAAGAAAGGTCACCGAGCGGGAAAAATATGCAAAAGAGTTAAAGGCTCTCTTTAACGAAAAGGCATGCCTTTCTACAGAGGAAGAGACTCATGGCTAAGTTTATATTTTGATAGAAGCGCACAAGCGTCAACATATGTTATTGGCTATTCAAATCTATGTCTTCTGCTTCTCTTTCTCTCTTTCTCTGTCCTGTTGCTCTTTCCATGCCCGCTCCTTCTCTGCCGCTTCTTTCTCCTCTCTTGCCCTCCGTTTTGTTTCTCGCTCCTCTTGGGCGCTCTTGCCAGATGAGATCGTGGCCGCCAGGTCTTTTGCCTCGCCACTAACAGCAACTGTTGCCTGCAAAACGGTTAGAGCCACTACCACTGATGTACAGGGTATTGTCATAAAAACTGCAACTTTCTATAAAATATGCTTTAACAAGGCTTGTATGGAGTCCCGCTGCCGGAAACACCCTTTTTCTAGTAGAAAGTAGAGGATTTTAACAGTTTGATTACTAAATAAGGCATAAATGATCTATCTAGGGGGGTTTCAGCTAATAGAAACTCTCTATTATCCTAGTTAAATCCTGGTTCCAAGTGGAAAGTTGCAGTATTTATGAAAACACCCTGTATACGGAGTGGCTGTCGAAATTAGTGTCACTATGGAAACTCAGTGAAGTTTGTTTTTGGTCCCACAATCCTATCCCCTAAACCTATAAAGGCTTAAAGCGTACATTAGACTTATCTTCCCTGCTCTCCAGGCTCTGCACATCAATTCATAATCTCACCTGGTACTTTGACCAGCAGATATGCGGCGCTAATCAAAAGAGGAAACCGAGCCAGCCAAACTAATAAGCACAATTCCCGCGCCAACTCTGCTCCTATGTTCTCTATAGCGAGTTGATCGGAGAGTATACGACGGGCCTGCATTATAAATACCAACCAATGCTCCGATGGCAGACTCAAACTTCACCTTCTTTCCCTTTCATCTCAAACAATTCTCACTAGCCAGCAACAATGTCACAAGACAAGAAGGTCGTCTTCATCACGGGGGCTAACACGGGTCTTGGCCTTGAAATAGTCAAGGCGTTGTATAAAAGTACGCAACCATACGATATCGTCGTTGGTAGTCGGCTTGTTAGCAATGGTGAAGCTGCCGTTGCAGCTATGCAACAAGAAATCCCATCTTCTTCTAGCAGCCTCAGCGTAGTCCAACTGGACCTTGCCTCGGATGAGTCCATTAAGAAAGCCGTCGAGAACATTGAATCAAAATTCGGCCTGCTAGATGTCTTGGTCAACAATGGGGGCGCAGCCTTTGACGGAGCTCTCAGAGATGGCCAGCTGAGCATCCGGGAGGCGTGGAACAAGTCGTGGGATACGAACGTCGCCGGCACTCAAGTACTCACGAGTGAAGCAATTCCACTGCTGCTCAAGTCAAGCCAGCCACGACTGATCTTCATTACAAGCGGGACTTCTGCGTTGGCCTTTACCGAGAGATTTGATCACCCAGCGCTACAGCGCATCAACGCCTCGCCAGCACCAGGTTGGCCAAAGCCAAAAGAAATCAATCCTATCGAGTCATACCGGAGCGCAAAGACTGGACTTAACATGATGATGAGACAGTGGCACCGGATTCTACTCAATGATGGAGTAAAGGTCTGGGCTATATCCCCGGGATTTCTCGCAACTAACCTGGGGAACGTTGGGATTGAACAGATGAGGAAGGTAAGCAAAGAAGATAGCCTGTCGAAGAATCAATTTTCTGACCAATGAATATTAGATGGGAGCGCGAGATCCTTCAGAGGGTGGCAATTTTGTTAAAGGTGTTATTGAAGGGGAACAAGACTCGGAAGTCGGAAAAGTGGTGGGCGCTCATGGTATCCAAACTTGGTAAGACAGCTCAGCATTCTTGTTATAGCCTCTAGAACGTGAGATTATATCAATGCCTCCTACATCGAATTATACAATTACTGAATTGGGCGATCTCGTAATCTCACTATGCATAATTACTGAGTATATTGAACGAACTGTAGCCTCTCACGCTGCCTGAGGGATATATGGAGAATAGACTCGGAGATGGGAGATGAGGGATAAAAAGGTTGTAAGTAACTCACGCGATGATAATATCATCTAACTTCCGAAATTCTGTAATTTATATAACAAGACGTCCAAACGAAAAGACATAAAGCTTGTGAAGTGAAATGGGATCAAATAAATATATCATTTCTTTTCCCGCAAACGGCTAACTTTCTCTTCGCGTAAGTACAGGCGCATGTTCCAACTCTTGCATCAAGTCCTTCCAATAAAGCCCATCAACGCCGGCACGTTCGCCGAGGTGCAGTTCATGAAGCCGCATGCGCACCGCCTCGTAATCCCTCCTCACACGCCGTTCACACCACCAGATTCCCTCGTATCGACACATCAACCCCAGCCAGTACCCAAGCAGCCACAACGCCCTTTCATCCCTGTTGTAGAGAAGAGATTTCAAATCTCCATGTATCTTCGTGAGAAACACCCAATTGAGGAGTATCGTTGACTGTGGAGGATGAATACTCCGTAGATAGGCAAGCGCGATCGTGGCTGGTCCAAAAATATCCTTCTGGTCGGCATTATTGGATTCACAACTGAAGCTTTCATTCTTCAATTTGAATGCTCTAATCCAACTCTCAGGAACCATACCCAAGCTTTGAAATTTTCGGATGTCTCTCCAGCCGGCCTTTCCGTGGCCAAACATGATGGGATTTAAAAAGGCTACCGTCTTCTCCAGATACGCTGACAGTGAGATCAAGAGAGGTCTGAGACCCGCTTGCAGGGCTAGCCATCCCAATCCGTCTTCTCTGAAGCTGAAGACCCAGGATGATTTTGGATCATCTTCGACGCCACTGTCTTGGTGTGGGAGTGTAAAAGCGATCATATTTAGCAACAGCGCAGCCAGTAGCAGTGCATTCACTCCTTGCTGCCCCAGTGACTTGCTAGGTGTTTCAAGGGCTATTTGGAAGTCCTGGATGGCAAGGGATTGATAGAAATGTTCTGCCATACGATGCTGTAATATCCCTGGAGACATATGCCGCAAGTGGCACGCAGTAATGGCAAGTAATGTGTTGCGGATAAGAGAGTTTGACTGTGAGAGCGAGACTAGCTCGTCACGACCCGGCATGCGGAATATGGCATCCCAGTTTGTACAGAAATGATGCAGGAGTTGAATACCAGGGGTTCCATTTTTCAGACTGGGGTATAGAGCAGTAATTGAGCTGACTATAGAGAGCTTTGTAATTGCAACGCCCCCCATAATATTGTATTCATGCTCGCCCTCATAAGGCCTCTCATATGCACAAGTTCTCCTGTTTCGTCGACATCGTACGCACATTGGCTTTTCCTCGTCACACTGACATGATATAAGTTTCAATAGACAAGAAGGGAAAAGCAGAGAGAAAGAACAGACCTTAACCTTTTTTTCTTTGCAGGGAAGACAGCCAGATCTGGATTTCCTGTGGTGTCTTTGTTTTTTGTAATCACGGATTTTCAGATCGGAGTTAATGGATGAGAGGACTTGAAATCCGGGTTTCGTGTCTATGTCCATGGTTAATTAAAAGAGGAAAGCGAGGTGATCGAAATCTATACATCAACAACCCTAAGAGTTTTATCTGGAGATGGTGTAAAGAAAGAACCAGATGCTGAGCAAGCGATCTCGGCTGTGCTCGGTTTCCTATACGAGACTAGCGCTTGACGATGCAGCTAGCCATAAATAAATAGCCTTACTCGTAGCGCGCAACATAGATGTGGGCCTGACCATTCAATCATAAAGTATTGAGATGCATGAAAAAACAGAACAAAGCTTACGAAGGCCACAGATTTACATGGCTTTTCTAGCATCGCCACCCTCCTAAACTCGTAGCAGCACTAATTAAAGCCATAGTTCAAAATTTATTATTCCCCGGATTCAACCGACCCAGCATTTTGTCTTGGTGCGCCAAGGTATGAATACCCTATACCTGGTCCGAAGTATACAGCATGAGCAACTGTAAATGAGCTGCAAGGAAAGAACTTTTTAGTAATTGCTATTTTGATAGTCGAACCCACCCAACCCACTCCCAGAAATACCTAGGTAGAGACAGCAAACATAGTCATGGACACCACTGAAGATGCACAAACTACGACCGAACCCGAAGGAGAATATCCAAGTAGATCATATGCTTTGCCAAAGTCCCGAGAGATCGGTGGGCAAAGCCTCCCTTCCTTCTGCAATTTGTTTTGTGATGCATAGGTCTCCTTGCCCATCGCAGCTGATCTCAAACTGCTGGCCATCCGAATCTCTAACAACATCCACAATTCGCCTAACGAGAGCATGGAAACGAGCAAGATCGTTGGCGTTATCCGTTTGCCATTTCAGGACACTGTCACGTACTGACTTGACTTTCGGGTTGGTGAACTTCCCAAATTCATGATAGGCCAGAAGGAAGTTGGGAGTTTGGTTCATCCAAAGGCGAGGGAGAATCTCCTCCATATTGTATTCCCTGTAGCTCGCTCGAGTCTTGATATCAAAGATGGCGTCCTGTGGGATGGGTGTACCTTGCTCTTGAATTGTGAGAGCTGATCCGCCCACTGGCTGGCGAGCATCGATACCTAGAGTATCAAGGACACCATCGACGGAAGCCTCTTTCTGGGATTTCTTCAACGAAAGAGATCCCGTACTTGAATCTCTAAGGTATGCATCCGTCTCTGAACGGATGAAGAACTGCATGCCACCAAAGGCGTAGCTCACGATACGCTGATGAGAGGTGGAGTTGCGTACATTTGCGTCCCACGAGGTGTATGCTTCTGGAAAAGTATGGCCATATCCTTGAAGATCTGTGATCATTTCAGTTGGTGTTTCCTCCCTGCGAACCATGAAGACGGTATCCCCAATGACATCGACATCGAATCGGAAAGGTTTTGGTTGAGAGCGGGCACATCTCAGCAGGTTTCCAAATGTGCTTCCGCAGCCAAACACATCCACCAAGGGGAGTTCGGATAGTGGTTGCATGGCTAGGACCGAGCGAACGGCAGGTTCCATGGGGTGGGCGGCATAGCGAGCAGCATTAACGTCTCGATACACAGGTTCGCTGTCGGGTCGCAGCTTAACGTCTTCAGCCAACGGAGTCCATGCTGGGGGCGAACCTGGATGTGCTGTAGTCAGTACATAGCATGTTGCTGAGAAAACAAGATGCCGCCGGGAGCGTACAGTAGAGATGAGAATAAAAAGAAAGGAACTGACCGGGGACCAGGATGATTGCAGAGCTGTCATTCAGCCAGTTGTATGATGCCACATATTTGACATGCTCAATCTCCGGGCTTTCTTCCTCGATCAGCAATTGCTTAGTCGTGAAGGAATCGATGCGAGGCCCGAAAGGTTCGTTTGCTCGAGGTTGTAGTTGCGGGGTAGACGCAGCTGTGTATGATGAACCCCGCCAGCCACCTCTAGCGCGGCGAATGCCCCGTGCACCCCTGAGGTTATTCCCACGACGAAACTCCTGAGAAGACATCCAAGAGAGCACGCAGGAGTCTTCGAATACAGACACGAGGTGGGATCTCGCAAGCCTGTATACTTATTGGAGGCCCTAATACTCTACAGCGTCTTCTGCTTCTCTCATCTCTTTGCAGTAAGGGAGGGGGGGGGGGAAGGGGGGCAGACGACAGCCACCAACACAGCAGTGCACCTCTCAAATAAAGACTCTGGTTTCATCAGACGCAGGTAGCCAATGCCCTCCATACCTCATCGATATCATGCATTTCTTGTGTCACTATCGGATACGCACGAGGCTAAAAGCAGCAAATGGAAAGTCGTGGACGAAGAGTATAGGATTTGTTAGCTTCCACAACAAATTCTCCCAAACTCTCTCAATACCCTTTTCTTTCCTTCTTTCTTTCTTTCTTTTATTTTGAGAATGTTGACCTCTTTTCCGCCCCTTGTGCATAGATTGTCGAAGCTGCAAGCTGTTTCTCAAGTCTCCGTTACGTTGAAAGACGATCGACGACAGGTGAAGGTTGCAGTAGAAACCTGGCGGCAAGCGACATATATGCAAGGAGTATCCCTCTGAGACTCTCCAAATCATCTCAGAACCTTCACATGTGATTACAAACGGATAAGGCTCTATATATCTTCTTTTCTCGACACATACCTGCTTCTTGATTTATCAGGTACTCTGCTTGGCTCTGAAATTCCATAGATATGGAAACTCTAGTGGTAGACGATATTCGTCAAGCTCGGCTCTCTCGTTTCTTCAACGGCGTGATTTATGGCCAAAAGCCGGTCACCACTGCCACCAATGGTCGCTTGTTCATCGAAGCAATCTGCTCGCAGCCTGACCCCGCAGCTTGTGTTTCCAAGATCTTGACAAGCACTTCTGGACTGGGTGCGCTTCAAACTTCAGTTCGTTTCGACACTTCCGTTTCGTTTTTAAACAATCACGGATCGAAGTTGCTTCTGTATCTCCAAGAAGAGTCCCTGAGAACGATCGACTCGGGTTCTGCCCTCGCCAAAATCTTGCTTCCAGTGGTTGAGCCGCCATATTTCTGGGATGCATACACAAAGGCTTTCCGGGAGGGCTCGCTTGATAGTGTTGCATTCTCTTCGTATGCATGGCTCCTTCTCCAGTTGATTTCACTCCCGGGAAATTGGGCTTTCGTCCCTGCTCAGCTAGTGAGAAATCCAGACATATTAGAGAAAATCTTGGTCAGCTCTGACAATGCTACTCGTCACATTGGATACAAAATCCAGCATTCATTGCAGTTGAATCCGGATCAAAACTCGCCGGATGCCGATGATCGACCAGGTGGCAGGCATGACAATGATCATGCCGACTACAGACAGGTATCTATTATGCCTACGAGAGATGAGTTGTCATCTCGAGACCGGCCTTACTTTCGTACTACAGACTTTCTCGACGATCCTGAGAATCTCTTATCCCGCAGCATTTTTCACATCGACAATCAATTCAGACTTCTGCGAGAAGATATGCTCGGCGAAATACGAGAAGAACTAGCAACCATACAAGATCGAAAGTCCGGCAATCATAAGGGCACGATCATCAACAATCTGACAATGTGTGGTGTCCAGGTGGATACCGAACGTCAGCCTTGGGGAGTGCGATTGCAGTTGGATGGTACTTTACCACAGCTGAAGCAACTCTCACAGAACAAGAGAGTGGACTATCTGAAGAACAATCGAAACATTCTTCGCCATGGTAATCTATGCAGCCTCATGATCGACAACGAACTAGCAGCCTTTGCGACTATCTCTCGTGACGAGAATCAGCTAGCCAGTGACCCCTCTTCCATCGTGGTGCAATTCGCGGACAATTCCACGCTTTCCTCTACCTTATTCAAAGCAAAAACTGCATCCAACATCAAGCTAGTGCAACTGGACGCAGCAATATTCGCTTTCGAACCTTTCCTTCGACGATTGCAGGGAATCATCGACTTGCCTCTAGAAGATGATTTAGTCAACTGGGAAGCTGGTGATGAGATCGGGGTTTCATCATTCCAACCATCAAGAATCCTGCAAGAGTTAGAAAACTCAGCTGGGAAGGAGTTGAAGAAGCTGCTGGGTTCTCGGAAAAGTGTAATTCTGGACGAGTCGCAAGTAGCTTCTCTAGTCTCGTGCCTCTCTCAGAGAGTCAGCGCAATACAGGGGCCTCCAGGTATGCTTCATTACCCCCAAACTTCTGTTATCCTGTTAACCCTTTCAGGGACCGGGAAGACCTTTCTTGGAGCCCTGGCTGGCAAGGTACTCTATGATTCGACGAACGCTGTCATTCTGGTTATGTGCTTCACTAACCATGCATTGGATAGCTTCCTCGAGGACCTTATGAAAGTTGGCATCCCAGCTTCCGATATAGTACGACTTGGTTCCAAGGGCACACCCCAAACGTTACCGTTGAGAATTAGATATCAACCTGCTGGCAAGCTGAAGCCAGCACAGTGGGCAGAGATCGATCGGCTGAAGCTAAAGCTCGCTGGCCAAGGAAAACGACTCAACGACGCATTTCAACAATATCATCACGCGAACATCACCAAGAAACAGATCATGGAATTTCTAGAATTTGCCGCCGAAGACTTGCCATTCTTTGAGACATTTACTCTGCCCGACGCAATTGAGAAAGGCGTCACACAAATTGGAGCTAAAGGCAAAAAGATCAGTGAATTCTACTTGCTTGATAGGTGGCTGAGAGGTGAGCCGAATGCTGGTAATTTTCGAGATGCACAACCAGAAGACAGCTTGTCAGTATGGGAGATGGCTCGCGGCATGCGAGATGCGTGCATGCAGAGGTGGCGGCACGCAATCCTGGGAGACCTAATCAATGCCATTTGCGAATGTGGCAAAGCCTTCAACGCTGATCACATTGAACTCACTCGCATACTCGCTGAGCGAGATGCCATTGTCATCAAAACAAAGCGCGTTATCGGCTGTACAACAAATGGTGCTGCTTCATACTTCTCGGCAATACAGGCAGCATGTCCAGGCATCGGTAAGTTACTTGCTTTGAACCTCACAGCCTATCTTGCAGCTCATGTTTCAAATGCTCACCCTATATGTAGTCCTTGTTGAGGAAGCAGGCGAGATCCTCGAATCGCACATTTTAACCGCTCTTGGGCCGCAGACCCAACAACTAATATTGATTGGGGACCACAAGCAACTTCGACCAAAATGTTCTTGGCCACTAAGTGTGGAGCAAGGAGATGGCTTCGACCTAAATCGATCCCTTTTTGAGAGATTGATTCTCCGTGGATTTCCACACGTGACGCTTGAGCAGCAACATCGAATGAGGCCAGAATTTTCGAAAATGATTCGACAACTGACCTACCCCAATCTCAAAGATGCACCGTCAACTAAGAATCGTGCAGATCTCCGCGGTTTCACTGATAATTTCATCTTTTTGAATCACGCCCATCCAGAGCTCGAACTTGAGAAGTCCAAAGAGATGAGAGATGGGAATAGCCCATCCAGAGAGAACGACTTCGAGGCGCAGATGATTCTCAAATGTGTACGATATCTGGCACAACAAGGGTACGGGTCGGACAAGCTGGTGGTCTTGACACCGTATCTCGGGCAATTAAGATTGCTTCGTAATCTACTTGCTGCGGAAAACGATCCAATTCTTGACGACCTTGATAGTTCTGATCTTATAAAAGCTGGCTTAGTTGTGGATACCTCTTCGACAAGCACGAAGCCATCTCTCAGACTATCTACCATTGGTACGTTGCGGGATTTCAGTTCGTACGCGAACTTTCGAGGGGCAATGTTTGTCATACACTAACACATTTGGTTCTTTCAGATAATTATCAAGGCGAAGAAAGTGATATTGTTCTAGTGTCTTTGACCAGGAGCAATAAATCTGGAGATGTAGGATTCATGTCTGCTCCTGAGCGCTTGAACGTTCTTCTTTCCCGAGCACGGGATGGGCTTATATTGATTGGTAATTCCGAGACATTCATCAATGCCAGAAAAGGACAGGAACTATGGCGCAAAGCTTTCGGCATGCTTAAAGAGGAAGGGCATGTCTATAATGGATTCCCTACCAAATGCGAAAAACATCCAGAACGAAAAGCTATGCTCATATCACCAGCAGACTTTCAGCTGCGTTGTCCAGATGGCGGATGTACAGAACCTTGGTAAGTCCACGACAACATCAAATAATCTGCAAATTCCGCTAATGTTTCACTGCTAGTGGTGCTTCCCTCTCATGTGGAAAGCACCAATGTCCCAGCAGCTGTCATCAGATCGCTGACCACTCAAGAATGAAGTGTCAAGCCCGGGAACAAAAGATGTGCAGTAAAGGCCATAAAACAAATTGGTGCTGCTCTGAAGGCGAACCAAAAAGCTGTCACGCTTGTGAACGAGCACGGAAGGACGCCGAGAGAGAGATACGAAAGGCAGTCGCAGAACAGGCGAAGCAGGAAGAAGAGGGCCGCAAGCATCAAGAAGCTGTCAGGAAGTATGACGAGCAAATTCAGCAGCTTGCAGACGGTACCAAGCGCCAAAAGCTCGAGGCACAACGCGCAGCAGTCATCAAACAAAAGGAAAAGGACCTCGCGAATGCCAAGGAGCGGGCCAGAAAAGCCTCCACTTCGGCTCCTATCGAAGAATCAGCAGCTCCCGTCGATCCAGCGGATCCGCCAACAAACGGTATTCCAGGGTCGTGGCCAGCTTCTAAGAACCAAGCAAACCCTTCCGCTGCGCCGAAGTCGAATACGCAGAGCAGAACTCTTCTTCACAATGTCATCAAGGCCGCTACCACCCACAATGCATCCCCTTCAAAGACCGAGTGGCAGCGTCAGAAGGACCAGCTCAATGCTATCAACCCGGCAATTGATGAAATCATGGACATGATTGGTTTGGAAGAGGTGAAATCCCAAGTACTGCGTATCAAAGCCAAGGTCGATACAAGCATCCGACAAAGTACCGACCTGAAGAAAGAGCGTTTTGGACTCGTTCTTCTTGGGAATCCTGGCACAGGTCTGTGGTCCTGAGAATTTTATTGACGGTTATCTAACCATCACAGGGAAAACTACAGTAGCGAGACACTACGCGAAAGCCCTGACGTCCCTGCAAGTTCTTTCAGGAGATCATTTCATAGAAACTACTGGTTCTCGGCTTTCGCACGGAGGAGTTACGGATGTAAAAAAACATCTCCAACAGCTTGAAAGTGCTGGTGGGGGCGTATACTTCATTGACGAAGCGTACCAGCTCACCGAAAATCACAACCTTGGTGGAAAGCCAGTTCTCGACTATCTACTCGCTGAAATCGAGAATTTAGTTGGTCAAGTTATATTTGTCTTCGCGGGCTACCGAAAGCAGGTCAGTTAAATTTTTCCACATTTGAGGGACATCTGAGAGCAGCGCTCTGCGATGTCTGGCGTACTGAGAATAGGTTCAAGGGAAGTAACAATTGACTTGTTAAATAGATGGAGAAATTCTTCGAACACAATCCAGGCCTTCCCAGTCGAATCCCTTACACTCTTCATTTCGAAGACTACACGGACGCCGAGCTCTTAAATATGCTCCAATCAAAGATCCTTCGTTTCTATAAGGATGGAGGAGGGATGGCGGTTGAAGACGGCCCAGGCGGCTTGTTTATGCGGATCGTCGTGACTAGACTGGGTCGAGGCAGAGGTCGCGAAGGCTTCGGCAATGCTCGGGCCTTGGAGAATCTTTTTGCTCAAATCCGCGAACGACAATCAGAACGCCTTACAAGAGAGCGTCGAGATGGGCATAATGCCGATGATCAGCTCATCACGAAAGAGGATCTGATTGGGCCAGATCCATCACAGGCCATATTGAAATGCGATGCGTGGGGTGAGCTTCAGAAGTTGACCGGACTACAGTCGGTCAAGTCATCAGTCAGTTTCTTCATTGACCTCGTTAAGACAAATTACAACAGGGAGCTGCTGGAGAAGCCTTTGATCGAAATATCCCTGAATCGTGTCTTTTTGGGCTCACCTGGCACAGGGAAGACAACGGTGGCAAAGCTTTATGGCCGTATTCTTGGAGACCTGGGACTGTTGAGCAACGGAGAAGGTATATTCGACGTGCTCTGGTTATACTCAATGCTGACATTTGTAGTCGTTGTGAAAAACCCAGCAGACTTCTTGGGTAACCATATAGGCCAGTCAGAAGCCAACACGAAGGGCATACTCGCAACTACTGTGGGAAAGGTCTTGGTCATTGATGAAGCATATATGCTTGGGTCTTCAAAGGGTGAAAAGGGTAATGGTGGTGATATCTACAAGACTGCTGTTAGTGCATTTCTTCCTTCTTGGCTTTCTCATTCCCTGCCACAGACCTTAATTCTACACCTTTTGTTGTCCAAGTTCTGAGAGTAGACCTAAGGCGCGCGAACCTCAGCTAACTTGACTTAGGTTATAGATACGATCGTGGCGGAGGTCCAAGGTGTACCTGGCGACGATCGATGCGTACTTCTGCTTGGCTACGAGGAAGAAATGAAGGAAATGTTCCAAAATGTCAATCAAGGACTCACTCGGCGCTTCCAACTCTCCGAATCTTTTCGCTTTGAAGACTTCACTAACCCAGAACTACAAGAGATATTGCTCTTCAAACTCAACAAGCAGGGGCTTGGCGCCTCAACGCGCGCTATCTCTGTTGCCATTGACGTCCTCGACCGCGCTCGTAATGGATTGAACTTTGGTAATGGTGGCGACGTGGAGAACCTCGTCTCTAAGGCCAAGACTAATTACCAGCGTCGACAATCTGCCTTGCCTGCTGATCAGCGCAGTATTGATTACATCTTTGAACCTGAAGACTTTGATGTTGACTACCAACGGACATTGGCCAGTGCAGGGACTAATTTACAAAGCTTGTTCCAGGACGTTATTGGTTGCCAGGACATAGTCTCCAAACTAGATGGTTATATTAAAGCTGCAAATGGTATGCGAGCCCAAGATCTTGACCCACGGGGTCAGATTCCCATGAACTTCATCTTCAAGGGCCCTCCAGGTATGTCATCACTAGACACAACCTGCTTCTGAATTCCCTGACTAATGAATCAGGTACTGGAAAGACGTCCACTGCTCGCAAATTTGGTCAAGTATTCTATGATCTTGGTTTCCTGTCGCAACCCGAAGTCGTAGAATGCTCTGCATCGGACCTCATTGGACAATATGTCGGCCACACAGGGCCAAAGGTTATCAAGCAACTAGAGAAGGGTCTCGGGAAAGTTCTATTCATCGACGAGGCCTATAGACTGGGAGAAGGCCATTTTGCACAAGAGGCAGTCAATGAGCTTGTGGATTGTGTGACCAAGCTCAAGTTTGCTGGAAAGATGGTTATAATCCTCGCTGGATACGACAAAGACATGAACAAACTGTTGCGAGTCAATGAAGGCCTCAGCAGTCGCTTTGCTGACGAGTTTATATTCCCGGCTCTGAGCCCTGGAAATTGCCTTCTACTACTAGAGTCAAAGCTCAAGCAGAGTCAGATCACCATGCCATCTCTGGCATCAACGGCCGCACACGATGAACTGCTGGAACTTATTACCAAGCTGTCCCAACTTCCCGCTTGGGGCAGCGCGCGAGATGTTCAGACGTTGGCGAAAAGCATGGTAAGGATCGTTTATCAGAACACTACTGGCAAAGTAGATCAACTCATCATTCCGCACGATACGGCTCTAGCATGCATCCAAAATATGCTCTCCGATCGCCGAGCTAGGAGTAAGACTGCTTCAATACCCGCCACAGTACACTCGAGTCAACCACCATTTATGCACGCTCCTCCTCCTTCGCAACCCAAGTCAAGCTCCAGTACGACGACAAACTCGACATCGAAGACTACACCCTCCCCCTCTCAAGATGAAGATAATGGAACGTCATCAACCTTCTCACCTCCAGTAGACCCTACTCGCGACCCTGGAGTCTCAGATGCTGACTGGGAGCAACTTCAGCGAGATCAAAAGAAAACCGAAGTCGAAGCTCAAGCCATTCAACAACGGCTCCAAGAGCAGGCCGAAGCATGCAAGCTGGCAGAAGCGGCAGAAAAGAAAGCCGAGGCGGATGCTAATGCACTTCAGGAAGAGAAAATCAAGCAAGAACATGCCTCACAACTTATGAGACAACGTGAAGAAGCCAGAATTCGTGAGATCGCAGGCAGGGATGAAGAAGCGCAGAGGCAGCGGGATGTGATCACGGCGGCGCTTCGAGAAGCACAAGCTGAGCAAGAGGCACGCTCTTTGGAGCACATGAGACTACGTGAGGAGGCTAGAATGCGCGCCCTGAAGGAACGAGAAAATCGCGAACGCATTCAGAGAGATATAGAGAGACATAGAGAAGCGGAAAACCAGCGACAGAAGAAGGAACAACAAGCTCAAGTCAAATTGCGCGACCTAGGAGTCTGTGTTCAAGGCTATGCTTGGCGGAAGCAGAGTGGAGGCTATCGATGTGCGGCGGGGGGCCACTTTGTTAGTGATGGTGCGCTGGGAATTTGATAAAGTACAGGATCTTCTCGGTGGGATGACAATGGCTGCCCTTCTTCCATCAACCTTTTCAGTATTGCGATAGTAATAGGAATAAACGTAAGTTCATCATTAATATTAGAACACTTCCCAGCAAACAGGCCTCGCAACAGAATGTCCCCGCAAAAATAGTATACAGGTATTTTCAATGCCCTTATACAACCCGAGAAAACAGACGCGAAAGCTCAAGGTGAAATACAAATGTAACGAACTTCGCTACAACAATCCTACCCATATTTCTCCCTCATCCGACATCTGTCTGATTGCAATTTCGGGCTAGACGTGGCTCTGTCCTGACCAACTGTTCTGCAGTACATCTCGCGGGTGTGTTCGCTGTGACGTGAATCCTGATGCCACGAGGGTCAATACCGTAGATAGGGTGTAACACCAGACGGAGGTTTACCTACAGCGAGCGGACATTGGTGTGAGGTGGGATGGAATGGAAGCCTGCTTGTATTGCTTGATTGAGACGATCTGGCCGTGTGGATCGATGGCCGGGTGAGCTTTGTAGTTGTATAGTTTGGGGGACGTGTTGGGCATGAGCTGGTGTTGAGGGGTCCGAGGGCACGTGGCACGTGGCACGTATATTATCTTAGACGTGGGCGAGGACGAGGACTTTGAGATGTTAGTCTAGTATCGATCGTGTGAGTAGAGAGACAGTATACCGGGCTGGTTGTGGCGTTTTGGAATCGGCAAGTTGGCGGGCGGGTGAGATGGGAACCGGAGCAGGGCAAATGCCAGATCGGGAAGGAGACTTACGATATCTCGGTACCTGGACGTGGGGAAAGTCGGTTGCTTGTTGGATTGGGAGGTGATAGATGGAATGTATCGGTCTTGCTGTTCTCAACGGTGGTGGACATTGGAATATTGATACATGTGGTGACTAGTGCACCGGTACAAGGTGGAGGTTCTGAAGTCGGAGTCGACGTCACGGATGTATTTGTCGAGTCTGCTGTTGTGTATAAAATATCGTATTTGCAGTCGTCTAACCGTACGGCTGTTTCGTCGGATAAGTTGTGTGTATTGGTTAATCACTTTATAGGAAGAAGTTGTCCATGCAGGAGTGCTAGTTGTGAAGAGTGCTTGTGGGTTCATGGGGGTTAGATGTTAGTATACTCGCCGGGTGGGTAATTTCTAGCTCCGGTTCTTGAAATCGACGTTGAAGTGCCGTTGTAGAGGATGATGCTGAGATCCAGTCGTTGAGTTGGGGATTCATCGCAGGGTCAGAAGGAAAGTGATAATTGATGTATGGATAGCGATGGTAACTGGAAAGAGGGGTGCCAGAGTAAAGTTCTGGAGAGGTTATCGGAGAAGGGCCTGTTGGAAGAGGGGCAAGGGTTGGTTGTAGCTTGGTTGGTAATATATTGCCATGTCTGATTTGTAGTACCATGAGAATCGAAGGTGTGTATTGAGATCTATTGTTAGTAGTCAATAAGGTAAGAAGTAACACATACCGAAAGTCTGATTTAGCTTCGCTGCATGTTCATATAGATATCGTAATCGAAGAGCCTGTCTGTGCTGAAGGCAAGATGTAAGTGTCTGGTATGCCGATAGCTTAAGACTTGGCCACGAATGTCGCCAGTTGTTCAGTGGCTGATGTTTTTTCTGTGAGACCGGAGGCCATGGGAGCAAGGTCAAAAGATGTTAGTAAATACACGTGTGCTGAGTTAAGTGTCGATAATATTGACTGGAAGGGTGTGTCTGATCCAAGAGATGTGCTCTTGCTGTCGTAGATAATGCCTCGAAGATGTCGTGGCTGATATGCTCTAGGTTTCTAGTGCTGTGGGACAACTTACCTGTAGGTGTTGGTGCGATTGTTGTTGCAACACTGGTAGCTAGTAGAGCGTAGTATTGTAAGTGTTCCATCCACTGGCTGAGTCCTTGATGTGGTTGATGGGTTACCCGAAGATAAAGTGATGGCGGATGGAGATGTGGGTATTCGTGTAGATATATAATCGAACAAGGCGATGTAGCTGATTGTATGGTCGATACTTATACCAAAGACAGTGAAATGATGACGAATAGGAGTCGATGTTGTCGTAGAGATATTATCGAATGAGTCGAGATGGTTGCTTATACGGTCGATACTTTACCTGAAACACTTGTTCTGGTTTGTTTGG